GATATTTCCATGAAAGTACCTTAAAGTTCTTCAAGCTTAGTATTTATAGAGCTGAATTCTTCTTTTCCTCCCTCCTTATCAAAACCAGCTCTTTCTCTTGTCTTATCCATTTGCCTTTTTGGTTGTCACCCTCTGTGTCAGTCAAACTTGAAATCATCTTTTTCCATTCTTTGCCTTGTGGTCAATTATGACACACACACCCCTTTTTCCCACTGCCACTGTGTAGAGACAGGTATGTATTAGGCATTACTTGAACTGCTACTATAGTCTCCTAACTGGTCCTCTTTCTGCATGCCTCTAAACAGCCCTTACCCCATTGCTCTCTCTCCCCTTACCATGCTTTATTATTACTTGTGGCACTTACCATTCCCTGACGGTTATTCATATTTTTATTTCTAATTGTCTTTCCCACTAGAATGTAAGTTTCCTGGGGCAAAGACCTTGCCTGTCTTGTTCCCTGCCATGCCATTAAGGCCTGGCTCATAGTAAATGCTCAGCAAATGTTTAAATGAAAAAGTACATGGAAAACGGTTAGGCGTATGTATCTTAAAGTAGCAATTCCCAACTGTAAATAAATTGCTAAACTGTGCTAAGATATTGATTCCCTCAGCCAACTGTCCATTTGCCTTCTGTTATAAGAATGTAGTGCATGTTTAACACTTACTAATAATCAAACACCAGAAACATTTTACATGCCCAAACAGTAGAATGGTTAAAGTGTGTTAATATTCATAGAATAAAACTGTACCGTACAGCAGACTTTCTCGGCTTTGGCACTATTGACATGTTGGACCAGATAATTTCTTGTCAGGGGGGAATTGTTCTGTGCACTAAGGAAGTTCAGCAACATTCCTGGCCTCTACCCACACTAGATGCCAGCAGCAAACCCCCAGTTAGGAAAACCAGAAGTGTCTTCAGACATTGCCAAATGTCCTGTCCGGGACATAGTTGTCCCAGGTTTGAAAACCCCTGCTATGCAGCAATGAGAATGAACAAATACTGCTTTATGCAACAACAGGAATGAATCCCACAAACACAATATTGAACAGAAGAAACCAAATGTAAAAGAGTGGTGCTGTGTCATCGCACGGTCCTTCAAAAACAGGCAACACTAACTGATGGAAATAGAGGTCACAGTAGTTATCTTTGGGAGGGTAGTGACTAGGAAAAGAATGAAGAGAGCTTCTGGGATGTGGTACTGTTCTATTTCTCAACTGAATGGTGTTACACAGGTGTGTTTACTTTGTGAAATCAATCAACCATACACTTATAGTTAGTGCACTTTTCTTTCTGTGTGCTATAATTCAAACCTAATGTCTTAATTTATGAAACCACTACCCACACATAGGCAAGTATTCCTTGTTTATTGAGGGGTTGATGAAGTTAAGGATATAAGAAGCCCTCCTGGTCTCCTGTGCAGTCTCATCTGACTTTTTCCCCGACTTTTTAAGATGTGAAAGAATAGTGCAGTAACTATTTGTTTACCTAGGGACACATATTAATTTTTTTTGCCGTGTTTACCATGTGGTTGTATTTTAGCTGAACCATTTAAAAGTAGGTTGCAGACATCATGATACTTCAGTCGTCATCTGCTAAGAATAAAGTAATTCTCCAGTGTAATCACAATGTCATTGTTAGCCCCAAAGAAAATTAACTGACAGTAATTCCCTTCCTAATATCTTCTGACAATACAATTGATACTTAACTATTTCCTAATTGTTTGAATTTTTTTTTAAAGGATCTAATCAAGGTTCACACATTGCATTTTGTTGTTAGGCCTCTTTAGCCTTTTTAAATCTAAGACAGTCTCTCTCTTTTCTTTTTTCATGACACTGACTTTTTTGAAGAGACCGGTCAGTTTTTCAGTAGAGTGTCTTATCTTCTGGATGTGACTGATAGTTTCCATGTTGTGCTATTTCACTTACTCTTCTACCTCCAGTATTTATTGTAAACTGGAAGTTAGGTCTAAGGTTTGCTTGAATTTAAGTTAAGCTTTTGGGGGGCAATAAGACTACATAGGGAGGTGATATTTATTTCATGTTGCATCACATCAGAAGCTACATAATGACAGATTTTCACCCTTAGTGGTGTCAAGTGTGATCATTTTGTTAAGGATAAACTGTATTTTTTATTTCACAGTAGTTAATATCAGTGCTAGCAAAGTAGCTTTTATTATCAGTACCATTTTATTATCAGTAGTTATTATCAGTGCCAACAAAGTGCTGTTCTCTCTATATATTAATATTATTTGGACACATGGATTGTATATTCACTATTTTCTGATCAACTACAGTCATTTTTACTATTCAAATTACCTTGCATTTGTCCAGTGAGCACTCATCATGGTGGCTCCTATGTCTTTTTTTTCCCTAGCAAATCATTCCTTCAGCAGTCCTGTGTCTTGACAAGCTTCGATTAGTCTAAGTACATCCCAGTCAGGCTCCAATCCCAGACTGGGAACCCTGCTTCCTTTTAGAGGGCGATGGTGTTGAAAAAGTTAAGATTTCAGCATTAGGATTGTCATTGCTTCTTGGTACTTGAAAAGGAGAGAACTGGGATATATCTGGAAATATTTTTAGCCATGATTTATTTTGATATCTTCAGTTAATATTTAACATTACAGATTTTTTTCTTAACATTTGGTTTTAATTAGTGACACTACTAACAGTATATTAATGAAGTTTTAAGACTTTCTTGGGGCCCGCTACAGTGGCTCATACCCATAATCCTAGCACTTTGGGAGGCTGAGGCAGGAGGAACACTGAGGCCAGGAGTTTGATGCTGCAGTGAGCTAGGATCATGCCACTGCACTTCAGCCTGGGTGACAGAGCAAGACTCAATCAATAATAAATACACAAATGTAATAGGTTTCTTTTCAGTTCTTTTTGTCCTTAGAATATACTCAGAGCAAGACTCTGATTCAATAAATAAATCAATAAATTTTTTTTCAGTCCTTTTTGTCCTTAGGATTTCTCTCACTAAGGATATAACAAGATCAGAAATTACTTGAAGCAATTTTTTATGTGGTTTTGTTGCCCAGTTGGTTTATTTTGAGTTTTAGGATTTGCTTTTTTATTTTTAGTTAAGTTTATGAGTATGTTAAATATTTACATGATTCAAACATCAAAAATTATGAAAGTACTCAGGAGTCAAGCAGAAAGAGCACCTAATGGCCACATTTTAATAATTTGAGCAACAAAATAAATAATGGTAGTATTGGGTTATAAACCAAAAAATAAAGTACATGTCTATACTAAAATAAATAAATGGGAGAGAAAGAACAAATATTAACAAAACTATTCCAAATAATAAATGTTGAAGCAGTGAAGGAAATAGAAGGTTAGCACCATTAGAACACCCCAGTACTAACATTAGTACTCACATTAGTGAGTGCTAAAATTAGTAGTTGAAACTTGAAGGAGAAACCAACGTTTGTATAGTATTTTGCATTGTAAAATATTTTCCCCAAAATATTTACTTACCACTGGGTGGTTTTAACATATGTCCACAATTTTGTTTGATACCTCTTCCTCCAGAAAGTGGAGCTTAATTCTCTTGCCCTTGAGTGTGGGCTGGACCTCGTGACTTGCATCTCAGGAATAGATAATAGGAAGGGAAAAATAATAATTTACAGGAGAAACCTGGCAGGCTCCATCTTAACTAAGAGATAATGGTTACCAGTAGTGAGTCGTTCTGATATCACCTATCCTCAAATATGATGTGTAGTTAATAGTGGTTATACCAAAGTTAATTTCTTATTTTTGATAATGAACCATGGTTACGAAAGACATTTGCATCAGGGAAAGCTAAGTGAAGGGTATAGACAAAAACTCATCTATCAGCTCTTCCATAAGTCTACAATTAGTTTAAAATAGAAGCTTTCATAAGAAGTCAAAGCTGTATAAAAAGATAGATACATATAGAAGTCTTGTTTCCATTCCTGTCTTTTCCATCCTGTTTTTCTGCATTTCCTATTGGTAATTTTTTTAATTTTAAAAAATAGGGATGTCTGTTTTCTCCCCTCCGTTCTTATATAGATGCTAATACACTGTGTACACTGTGCTATATATACCTTGCTCATCTGGAAATCTCTCTGTCCAGTACTTAACGATCTTTCTCACTCTTTTCAACAGCTGTGGGGTATGCTATTGGCTACATGTGCTTGCTGTGTTTTACTCAGCCAGTTCCCTGACAATGGGCGTTTTGGTTGTTTATAGTTTGGCCATTGTAAATAACACTATAGTGAATAACCTAGTGCACATGTTGTTTCATGATTGTGAAATTTCATAGTTCTGATAGTATTTTCAGAGTGAATTCCTATCTGTGGGATTGCTAGGTCAAAGAGCAAATGAATGTGTAATTTTGTTAGATATTGTCAACTTCTCTGTGAGAGTTGGACCATTTTGTACTCCCACCAGAAGCTCATAAAATCACCTATTTCTCTGTAGCCTTGCCAACAGAATACATTGTCAAACTTTGGGATTTTTGCCAATCCAATAGGTGAGAATTGCATCTCAGTGTGATATCTGATTATGAACAGTTTATATATTTCCTAAGGTTTTAATTAACTGGTCTCCCCCCTGCCCTTTGAAAAGTGCTTAGTTTAATCAATCACACACAAAAATGTAAATTGTTAGTTCAGCCTTTTCTCCGGGTACTTAATTCTTCCTCTTGGAGGAAAGATCAGATTTCCTTCAGAGCTACCAGGCGCAAGAAAGAGAATACTCAGCCCCACCATGTCACCTTCCCCACCAGAAATGAGGCAGGTACACAGAAAAGGTTAGGTTTCTAGATGAACTGGTGAGAGCCTTGGCCCAGAACATGGCCACAGAGCTGCTGTTTTCTTGCTAACCAGACTAACGTGGGTCTAGCCAGCAATTTTGGAACCTTCATTTGAAAATTTCTGCTGTCTCTGATCCAGGTTATGAATGACTTATTTGTAACAGTGCCTGTAGATGAGATCCTTGGTTTGGTTTGGTTTTTTCTTTTCTTTCTCTCAGCATGGAGCTTTTGGAGAATGTCTTTATTCTGAATGAAAGAAAGGGAAGAGGATGAAAAAGCAAGAACAGTTTAAAGGAGTTCCTTCTCTCATGGACCACTTCTGTCCACCCACTCCCAAATCACAATATGCACATTTGGTTTACATCACTGAATTCAGTGATTTGTGCAGATGTGAATTAACTCAATCCCATGGCTTGTCTAAGTGAAAGTGCCTACATGGAATAAACTGAAAAGGAGTGCTGGATTGAAGAGATGGTTAATTTTGGAACATAAATCTTTGCAAAGATTAAGGCAGGCCTGGGTTTTACTGAAGAAAGGAATCTGTACCATCATTAGAGGACCTGTGTGTCTAGTGAAGAAAAACCAGAAGAAAGTGAGATGTACTTGGTTTCTTCCAAAACTTTGTCAGATAGGTTTAACCCTTTAATCTCGGGGTGGGGGTATACTATACTTTTTAAATTATCATGAAATTTGGGATTTATTAATGCTAGTACTGGGGTCACCTTACAGTATTGTGTTAAATTGGCTCTGGAGTTAGCCTGGGCTTCTAACTGGCAACCGACAATACAGTTCCTATAGGAAATATTGATCGCAAACCAGATACAATCTGTGATTGTAGATTGCTTATAGTATAGAGTATTCCTTTCCAACTTTGCTTTTCTCTTTCTCATAGGATTCTAACATTTTCAGAGAACCTTTTGGAAAGAACAAGTCTACTTCAATAAATGAAGGAGAATAAAGAAAATTCAAGCCCTTCAGTAACTTCAGCAAACCTGGACCACACAAAACCATGTTGGTACTGGGATAAGAAGGACTTGGCTCACACACCCTCACAGCTTGAAGGACTTGATCCAGCCACTGAGGCCCGGTACCGCCGAGAGGGCGCTCGGTTCATCTTTGATGTGGGCACACGTTTGGGGCTGTATCCTGACTCTCACTGGAATCTGTTACAGATAGGCACCACACCCACCACCAAAAAATAAGTAGATTCTATAGACAAAACAGATACTAGAGCAGTTGTTAAATATCTTTGTTTGAATGTTGTTCTGGTGGGGGTTTTTCTCTTTCTGGTTTGTCATTTTAAAGGTGTAGACTTAGCCACTGAGGAGGTGGGGCCAGCCAGGAGGATATGAGCACCCATTATTAAGATCACAGTTGAGGCTGGGCACAGTGGCTCATGCCTATAATCCCAGCACTTTTGGAGGTATAGGTTGGAGCATCCCTTGAACTCGAGTTCGAGACCCGCCTGGGCTGCAGTGAGCTGAGATAACACCCTTGCACTCCAGCCTAGGTGACAGAGATGCTGTCTCAAAAAAAAAAAAAAAAAGATCACAGGTGAAATGTTTCTAAAAGGGTGTTAAAAGTATAAACTTCAACCTGCTAATTCTCGTACCAGAATTCTGACGCGCTGAGATTCCCATCTCCTTTCTTCGCCGCTAACATTGTTTACCACTGATTTTGTTGTTGTTTGTCTTTATTATTTTTCTACATTTAACTAAGAATATAACCTGTAAAAGTTATTGGTTAGCGTCCTTAACCAGAACAGACACTATGATACCCTGGCAACTGGAATAATTTATTTTCATCGCTTCTATATGTTTCATTCCTTCAAGCAATTCCCAAGATATGTAAGTATTTGAATTTTATTGTAATTCTCTGTCATATGTTATTATTTCTACGTGGTTTGCTGGACTAGTTACAGTCTCTCTTTTTCTCATATTTTCCAGAAAGTATTTATTATTATACAGTATATACTGTATATAAACAAAATCAAGTTTGAACTTTGTTTATTCCAATTAGCCATGTTCAAATCTGTTCACTTAGGCCAGTATGGACCATAGTCATATTGTCATTTTGTACTTTGTGTGAAAGTTTACTCCCTTGTTACCTTTCCCAAGATAAATTTAGGCTTATAATTGAGACTCAACAAAGACCAAGAAAGCAAAATGGGACAGAAGTTGTCTGTGCCATATCACTCATTCTTTGGTCACTCCTCAAGACTTGCATATGTCTTACTCTCTGTGGGAAATAGAGTAGCCTTCAGTCCAGGGTAAGCGGTATGACATTCACAGAACACATGATGGAAAGCGAGGGCATTGGAAAATACTGATAGAGAGCTGTGGCATTCAAGGAGGAGATGAGTTAACATCTTGGAGAGATCAGGGAAAGTGCCAGGAAGGAGGTGCCAGCAGTAAGGTAAGCCGTAAACGTACATAGGACATCGCAGTGCCGTGATGGGCTAGGTCAGTGGTCCAGCAGAAGCTAGCATGAGCAGAGGCAGGGGGAAGCATGTGGCATATTGTCAGCCCAGCCAGGAACTGGATTTGGCAGGAAGGGAATGATGAGACCCTGGGTGGAAAGATAGACTGGGTCAGAGCAGGATAAGCCTTGAATGCGAGACTTTAGAAATTTGACTTTAGTGGGTGATCATTCCAGTTATTAAAAGGTTTTGTGAAAATGACCGACTTAACAGGAAGGTCGTTGTGTTTTTGCTGAGATTTTAGTCAGATTTGTATGCGTGTCTTCCTCGCTGTTTGTGAAGTTCTTGAAGAAGGAGGCCATGTTGGAATCAGTTTTGTACCCCTGGCCGAGTATCTGACATCTGGTGTGATCAGGATTATGTGAGGACAGTGGCATGTAGGAAGGATTGGAGCGGGCAAAAGAAGCTGAAGACAGAGCAGTTCGGCCCCCAGTGATACAGGGACTGAGCTAAGGTTCAGGTAACTGGAGAGACAGTTTCTTCATCCTATCAGGCTGCTTTAACAAAATGCCTTAGACCCAATAATTTACACACAATAATTTACTGTGAAACTTAACTCTTCACAGTACTAGAGGCTGGGAAGTGTAAGATCAAGGTGCTGGCAGATTCCTTGTCTGGTAAGGGTTTGTTCCTCAGAAAGGCTCCTTCTTGCTGCATCCTCAAATGGTGGAAAAGAGGAACAAGCCCCTTAAGCCTCTTTTAGAAGGATAGTAATCCCATTCAGAATCACTTCCCAAAGGCCTCACTTCTTCATACCACCACCTTGGGAATTAGGACGTAAACATTCAGACCAGAGAAGAAAGAAAAGGAAGCATGGGCAGTGGTGTTGAGAAGGCTTCTACAGGACTGTGTTTACTTGTGCTCTTTCTTTTTCCACAGCAAAGCTGGCTGTTTAGGGAGTTAATTTCAGATTGGAATATAAGAAGAAAATTTGTTTATGTGACTGTGTTCCTTTTTGGCATTTTCTTTGTTTACATGACATTTTGTTAAAACTCAATTTTAAATAGTTTATGAAGCTAGAGTTTTGGGGGATTTATATGTATAAAATTTCCTTCAAGCTTATAGAGTATCAGACTATGTGTGAATGAGAAAAAGGAAGGTAGAGGAATGAGGAAGACCAGTTTATTATGAAGGCCAAAATTTATTGTGTCTGTTTCTATGTGATCTTTGATAACAAAAATCAAGAGCTTTTGTTTCCCTTTTAGGTGACAGGAGCCTGTTGCCTCTTTCTGGCTGGGAAAGTAGAAGAAACACCAAAAAAATGTAAAGATATCATCAAAACAGCTCGTAGTTTATTAAATGATGTACAGTTTGGCCAGTTTGGAGATGACCCAAAGGTAAGAACAGTAACTTCTGCCTTCAAGTCTTGATTCCTCACGGAAGCCTTGTGATACAGTCCCACATGTTGGCAATGCCTGTGGCCCTTGTGTCTGCCAGTCTCTTGAGTTCCTAGGAGGGCCTTCTGTAGAAGATACTTTGTGCTTTTATAAGAAAGGAGGGAAGACCGTGTAGCCTCCACTTACTCAGTGCTTCCCTATGTGCCCAACAGTATTCTGAGCACTCTGGGGCAATGACACATTTCATGGGTATGAGCAGAAATCCCCTTAATGGCTATTGGGACTCTACTTCTTAGGTGCAGTGGCGATGGCAGGGTTACAACTCCAGCTAGCTTCCCGGTCAAACAAAAGTACGTGTGCTATATGTACACATACACATGCCTATATATGCTGTGTGTCTTTTACTTCCAAACAGTGTTGGAAGGTGTCAACATTTGCAGCATTTCTGTCATCCAGAGCTTGATACCGGTCATGCTACCCATCCTGTCCTTTCCATACAACTCACGCCGGTGTCAGCAAGTGGTGCTCAAATCATTGTACATACCCTTTTATTGTATATTTAAAATACCACTTTTAGGGATCCGTGGCAGTGTTCCTCCACTCCCATTCTCTCAAGTTCCCCTTATTGCAACCCCTGTAGGGCCTGTTAATTATCCTTCATAATATTTATCACAGTTTGCAATTAAATAGATTTTCAAAAATGCTTTATTTGGGCCAAGGCGGGCAGATTGCTTGAGCCCAGAAATTCAAGACCAGCCTAGGCAACATAGTGAAACCACATCTCTATGATATAAGAAAAAAATAATATTTCTTTTTAAAAAAAAATCTTTATTACTTTTGCTGGGCATAAAGTATGCATTACTTTTTGCTGGGCATAAAGCTACTCGGGTGGCATGCAACTGTAGTCCCAGCTACTCAGGAGGCAGAGGCAGGAGAATTGGTTGAGCCTGGGAGGCAGAGGTTGCCGTGAGCTGAGATCGCGCCACTGCACTCCAGCCTGGAAGATGGAGCAAGACTCCTTCTCAGGGGGAAAAAAAACTTTATTTTTTTAGAGGAGTTTTATGTTCACAGCAAAAATAAATGGTAAGTACAGAGATTTCCCCTGTACCCCCTACCCCACACATGCACAGCTTCCCCCATTTTCAGCATCCCCCCACCAGAGTGGTACATTTGCTACAACTGATGAGCCTATATTGACACATCATCACCCAGAGTCCAAAGTTTACATTAGAGTTCATTCCAGTGTTACACATTCCATGGGTTTGGACATAAGTATAATGACATGTAGCCGCTGTTATAATATCATATAGTCTGTTTTCATGGCCTTAAAAGTTCTCTATGCTCTACCTCTTTGCCTCCTTCTTCCCCCAGCCCCTGGCAACCACGGATATTTTTACTGTCTCTGTAGCGTTGCCATTTCCAGAATGTCATTGAATTGGAACCATACAGGATGTAGCTTTTCAGATTGGTCTCTTTCACTTAGTGGTATGCATTTAGATAGTAGCATCCATTAGATAGATTTTTATCAAATTATCACACACATAACTCCCTCCCCTTCTCAGCTGTAAGATGCATGAGAGCAAAGACTGTCTGTCTAGTGCCTCTTACAGTGGCAGGACAGAGTAGGCATTCAACAAGCACTTGTGGAATAAATGTCAAACTATTGTTAAGAGGAAATTTCTAAATCAGTTAAAGCAAAGCTAAAGCAGTGAAGTTCAGCACCATTCGTGGTGGTGTTTTTCCTAACCAGCTGTATTGTCTCACAATAATTATCTTTGTCTCTGCCGAGCAGTGTGTGTGTATATACAAAATGTATACTCATCCTCATTGCTTTGAGGAGTTAACAAGGGCCCAGAACACTTCTATATTGTGGTTGTGATTAACACTAATATTTTGTAAGTATTGCCAATGCAGGTAACTCCTTTGAACTTAATTATAAATCCATCAGCCTCTTTATAAAAGTTTGAACCTCTTAGGAACTCATAGTAACAGTAGCTGAAAATGCAGTTTTATAGATACAATTTCACCATCAGATAATGTTTTCAATGCGCATGAGTATTTGATTTTTACTGTGTCCTGACGTGATCAGTCTGATGGTAGGAACATGCTGTAGTTCAGTCGCGCCCTGGTCGCACAGGCAGGTGAACCTTGCGGCTGGCAAGCTGTGCTTAAGGATAAGGCATCACACAGACCTGGGACCACGGCAAGGCAAGGACTCATGGCAGCTCCTGGTTTGAGCTATCCTGGGGTGCCTTGGAGAAGTTCCCCTTTATTTTCAGCCTTTACCCACTGTACCTTGAAGTCAGGAAACCAAGCCCCGATCTAGGCACAGTGAAGTAGAAGTTCTGCAGCTCCTGTGCCCCAGAAAATAAGAAAAGGGGGGTCCCCATATCAATTAGACCTGAATGGGTGAGGGGGACTTTGCAGCCTGCCCCCTGCCTCTCTATCTCGTGCAGTCTTCCCTGACATGATTTGGGGAGCAGGGGCCAAAGGAAAACCCCCGGATCTGGGAGCAGTAAAGACATTGTGGAAAATGTTTTCCTTGGCAGAGAGGAGGGCAGTTATTTTGGGGAGGCAGTATAAGTAATTAGGAAAAATAAGATCATGAGTCACATGAAACTTTTTTTGCCTTCATTCGCTTTGTTTTAATTGTGTGGTTTTCCCTGTAATATTCAGTATTTGTTTTAGCCCTTGTGTTAGGCACTAGACATGAGACACGAACACAGTCGTTGCTCTCATGGACTTCACAGTTGAGTGGCAGGATACGTTTGAATCAAATGAGTATGTAACTACTTGATTGTTAGTTGTGATGCACACTATAAAAGATCATTTAAGTGCTGTGATAGCGTTCCACCCAGGGACCCAGGCAACCCCCCCGGATAAATATGGGGCTGAAGGAAAGCTTTCCTGAGGAATGATGTTTGCTCAAATACCTGTAAGGACCTATTAATTGAATATTTGGAACACAGAGGGAAGGCAGGCCTTGGCTATCCTGTAACAGTATATGGGCCACAGCCTGCAAGCCCATTGGTAAAAAAAATTCTTTCTAAATTTAGAGTAAATGCTGAAGCTTCTGGGAAGCAGGTGGTGACAATGACAGGCAAAGAAAAAAAATAATTTTTTTTTTGAGACAGAGTCTCACTCTGTTACTTAGGCTAGAGTGCAGTGGTACAGTCTCAGCTCACTGAAGCTGCTGCCTCTGGATTGAAGCAATTCTCCTGCCCCAGCTTCCCTAGTAGCTGGGACTACAGGTGCATGCTATCACACCTAGCTAATTTTTGTATTTTTAGTAGAGATGGGGTATCACCCTGTTGGCCAAACTGGTCTTGAACTCCTGACCTCAAGTGATCTACCTGCCTTGGCCTCCCAGAGTGCTGGGATTACAGGCATGAGCCGCCATGTCTGGCCCAATTTTTTTTTATACTGTGTGAAAGTTTATAAGATTTTTAAAAACTTTCATGAGAAAATGCTTGGGAAACTCAAGTTGAAAAACCTTAATCTTGCCATGTGATTTGAAATAATAAATCATTATAGAATTATCTCCATATCCTATAAAATGATACCATGCTCTTAAAGAAAGCTAGTGACCTATGGGTCTGTGCACCTTTTGATGAGATTTACCGTCCTCTACAATGCCCTTTCTTTGATGCCAAACAAGGAATTCTCTGCAGTTGTCCTCCCGACACAGTGTCTTGATTGTGCTCTACGTTGTAGGTACAGTTCCGCTGTAAAGAGGCTGAGTTCAAGACGTTAGTTAGAGAGTATTATCAAAGAGCACATTTCATTAATGATAGCAGCAGTAAAATATCCAAGGATAAACCTTGTGGAAACCTCGTTAGTGGGGTGGGGAGGACTTTTAAAATAACTAAAGGACTGAAAAGATTTAATTAATAAATTTTTGGAAGGAAAATTCAATGTGGTTGAAAATCTCCATTCTCCCTAATCATTCTGTAAATCCAGTGAGCTCCCAGTGAGAATATTAGCAGCATGTATGTTTTCTGGAGTGATACTAAGTAAAGTGGCTACTAACATTTGGGTGAGGGGGACATGCAGAACCAAGAAACTGTTTGAAAAAGAGAAGTAATACCGGAGCTATTGTATCCCACCCAAGTACTGCTGTACTTGGTACAGCAGTAGACAAACAGAGCGGTGAACAGAAAAGATTGTGTGTATGCAGACATACACACGTAGTTTAGGAGGTGATTCAGGTGGCATTTTAAATAAAATTGGAAATGATCATTCAGTAGGTGATGTTGGGACCGTTTATTTCAAATAAAGATTTAAACACAAAATTGATTTGCCCCTATTGACACATAATACACTATATGTGTACATGCGTATGAGTGTATATACAAACACACACGTACACACACACTGGTACAACTTCTCTTTCTGAGTTTTCATGAGGCTATCATAAACTCTTTCTTGCTTAAAATGTTTTCAATGAATATTCCTAAAAGATTACATTTTTAAAATTTGAGGTCTTGAAAGAAATTACAGTTTAGTCAAATTATCAATAACATAAAGACCTGTTTTGTAAAGGGAGACTCTTGTCTGTATTGAAGGTAATAATGTTTTTAAGGATCTTTATTTTGTTTTCAGTATTTTCTTACATTAACCCTCTGATTTGTCTTTCTGTTTGAGATATTTTCAGAATTTATTATCAGTGTCTCTGAGCATGTTAAAAGTCTGAACGGGAGAGAAAGGAATGAAAAACAGTTGCTAAAATATAAGTTCAAGAGAGAATAAATAGATGGGAAAGCTCACTTTTGTAACGCTGCTTGAGACCTGTGATTGGAATTACCATCCTAACGTGTGGTCGATTTTTAGGAGGAAGTAATGGTTCTGGAGAGAATCTTACTGCAGACCATCAAGTTTGATTTACAGGTGGAACACCCATACCAGTTCCTACTCAAATATGCAAAGCAACTCAAAGGTAAGAAGACAAATTTTCAGAAGATCTTTTTCATTCTGAAATCAAGTCTTTATAATTTGTTGACACTCAGATTACGCTTCTCAAAAGAGGAACCAAAGTTTATGTGTAAAATACCAAGGACGTGGTTTGCTCAGTCAATTCAGTATTGCAGCCATTAATGCTGTTTCCTTTTATGTATAAACAAGCTCTGCCATCCAGTTGCCGAGTGATATGAGAGGCAGGAAAATGAGTCAGAATCTTTTAAATAGCCTAATAAACTTAGCCTTGGAACCAGGTTTTCCATACATGGTGGTTTGGCGTAGGCCATGAGGAAGAAGAAGGGGTAGGACATGGACCCACATCATTCATCCTTGTTTCCCAGGCAAAAGCTCTTTGCTGTGTATTTGAGTGGTGCCAAACCTGTAGTAGGTTTTCAGTAAATACTTGCTGCTGCCTGTGAATTTTTTTCTATTGCTATTAATTTACCTTTTTCCCCCCCCCATTTCTAGGTGATAAAAACAAAATTCAAAAGTTGGTTCAAATGGCATGGACATTTGTAAATGACAGGTATACATGTTCAAATATTGTTTAATTATAGTATTTTAAAATAGGCAGAGACTTTATGGGCCATTTCATCTAAACGCCTCATTTTGTGTCGGAAGAAACTGATTTGCCCTGGCTTGAAGAGCCAGTGAATGGCAGAGCTGGGGCTCCCAGCAGAGGGTTTCCTTCTCCCTTGCCCTGTCATGGTGTGAGATGCTGAAATTTTATCACCAGTCTGAAACAGAAGTCCAAAACAATACACTGGAAAATTTTGAAAACTAAATACTTGGAGCCCATTTGGTTCTGCAAAATATACTTCCTGGTATAAAAGTTTTGGAGCCTTGACATGCTTTTTGGAGGCCAGGGATCTAATGAGGTACCATGGTGGGAAACAGAATGCCTGTGGTTAGAGTGGCTGTCAGCCCCATCCCACCTCAGTCAGTGAAGCTTCTCTCACGTTTGACTTCCCCCGTACGATTTCGTTTGAAGAAGCAGTTGAGTGGCTAGGACTTCAACAGCTTAAATAACACAAGACATTTTCATTTGTATTTCATGATGTAGCAATTTTTGGATGTGCTAGAGAATTTTCCCAATACTTTAAGGAATAGATAAATTACTAATTGTGGTTAAAGTAACTTGGGTACCTTTAGAAGACTAAAGACTTGAGTGTTTTTATGTATAGTACTTTAATTAAACTTAGGGGCGAATGAGCAAATTAATGGTTAGTTATGGCATCTTCATGCACTGGTTTAATCATAAATGTTAGATCATATAATTTAACCTTTTTTTTTTCTTGTTGAACTAGTCTCTGCACCACCTTGTCACTGCAGTGGGAACCAGAGATCATAGCAGTAGCAGTGATGTATCTCGCAGGACGTTTGTGCAAATTCGAAATACAAGAATGGACCTCCAAACCCATGTATAGGAGATGGTGGGAGCAGTTTGTTCAAGATGTCCCAGTCGACGTTTTGGAAGGTATCAGGCATGCTAAGCTTTCTTGTGAGGGTGTTCCATGTTTAGCTTATTCTTCCAAGTGTACCCTGAGTCCCAAGAGTGGATTTTTCCAAATAGACATAGATAAGCAATAATTCAGAAGCATCTTTAATTAAATTATCTAAAAAGAGTGTCCGAACACATACTTTTGGCAAACTAAAAATGCACACCAGTCTGTGCACAACCAAGATAGGGTGAGTTGCAGATGTGAGTCATGCCTAGGTCCTCCTGGGGATATCGTAACTGATTCTTTATCCAGGTACAGTTTTATTTTAAATGCCAGTTTGTGTCAAATGTAATTGTTGGCTATCATTTAGACATATGCCACCAAATCCTGGATCTTTACTCACAAGGAAAACAACAGATGCCTCATCACACCCCCCATCAGCTGCAACAGCCCCCATCTCTTCAGCCTACACCACAAGTGCCGCAAGTACAACAGTCACAACCGTCTCAAGGCTCCGAACCATCCCAGCCCCAGCAGAAGGACCCCCAGCAACCAGCCCAGCAGCAGCAGCCAGCCCAGCAGCCCAAGAAACCCTCTCCGCAGCCCAGTTCTCCCCGACAGGTTAAGCGAGCCGTGGTGAGTAGGCCAGGGTAGGCCCTGAGCAGGGCGGGCTTTCCAGGTGGCAGCCACACCTGAGCACTGTTCTCATTTCTAAGCGACCGCAGGGAATGCCGGAAGCAGGGGTGATCCACCCAAACTCAGTCTGTGTGTCTCCGGGGAGCCTGAAAATGAAGGTGCTCCAAGGACAGGCCGCCTCTGAGAACCAGGAGGGCCCTCTGCACAGCTCCAGCCCTGCTGCCTGTGTCGTCCCTGCCAGGGTTCTGAAGCCTGTCAGGGTGTCGTTGCTGGGGCCTAGCAGTGTCATTGTGCATGCTGCTTCTGTGCAGCTGCCTGACCCCAAACAGAGGACTGTTTCCTGCACCCAAGTGGTCCCGAAACTTAGTGTTACTTGGAAATCACCATTCAGGAAAGCTAGTCATTCTGTCTTATATTGGTAAATGGAAAGAGGAAGGGAGCAGAAATGACAATCTGGTAGGTGCCGTGGGTTGCCCTGAAAGTTTAGGCCAGAAATAATTTTTGTCTGAGGCTGTTCACAGTGACTACTACTGTCACTGATTCTGGTGGTACCTGGATAATCCATTTTTTTCTCTTCATACTCAGGATCCCAGTTAACAGTTGTATATTTCTTTTGTAACAGGTTGTATCTCCCAAAGAAGAGAACAAAGCAGCAGGTAATTTCCTCTTCTGATGTTTTGTTTTTTAGTTTTATGTGTTCATATGCAAAACTTTAAATTCTTAGCCAATGTTATTTCCTTTCAGATCTAAATTAGCCTTAAGTCTTAACTTTAGGGCTCTTCCAGAACTTTTCCATCAGCAAAACTGCATTGTCTGTTTATCACCTGAGCATACATTTTAAAATCATGCTCTTATGAAACTGTCAATAGAGAAAATGTTATTGGCAATAAAAATGTACTCAGTAACATATATAAAAATAAAATGATGGGTGTAGGAGAACTGTTGCTGCAGTTTTCGTTTCAGAGATTAGTTACCCCCTTCACAGCAGCAGAGTCCTCTCCGAGCACCAAGCCGCAGTAGGTGGGTGGTGTGCTGCCCAGAGAGCCAAGGCCCAGCCCGGCCTGGCTGCACATGCATGCCAGACCTCTTTTAAACACACTTGGGTTGAGGGGGCGTCACAAGTCTATAGAACCCAAAGTTAGTTCATGTCTGTATTGGAAATAAACAGAAGGAGCGAGCAAAATTGGAACAGTTACAGAACAGAAAGTTAGAAATGTTTGGTCATAGGGTCAGTCCGCCCATCATACTGAACTCTTCGAAGGCACAGACCAGGTTGACTCATTTCTGTTTCTTTGCTACTTGGTTCTTAGTTCCAGTGAATTATTCGTCAAACTGCTGTGACATCTTCCAGTTATGATAGAGCTTTTTTTTTTTTCAGTATATATGAGGGAGTGATGAGTTCGGTACAGGTGAATTTGTGTGTGTGTGTGTGTGTGTGTGTGTGTGAGAGAGAGAGAATGTGTGATGGACTTTTGTTCTTATTGCCCATGGTGGAATGCAATGGTGCGATCTCGGCTCACCACAACCTCCACCTCCCAGGTTCAAGTGATTTTCCTGCCTCAGCCTCCCGAGTAACCAGGATTACAGGCATGTGCCACCATTCCCGGTTAATTCTGTATTTTTAGTAGAGACAGGTTTTCTCCATGTTAGCCAGGCTGGTCTTGAACCCCTGACTTCAGGTGATCTGCCTGCCTCAACCTCTTGAGTGCTGGGATTACAGGCATGAGCCACCGCTCCCAGCCTACAGGTGAATTTTTTAATTAGCTTCAAATGGACAGGCATTAAATGTGAGACACAAGAATGGGCTGTGCTCCATGCCACGTGGGATGCATTTGAGACGAGCTGATGTGCTGTCAGTGGGGTAGGAAACAAGCTGCATGTGACCTTGAAGGAGGAGCTGCCTTTGAGCAGGGGGAGCAGAGGGGATGGATGGAGCAGTAAGGTGGAAGGACGGAAGTGAGCAAAAGAATTGAGAATCTTGGGGAAATGGAGAGGAGTCTTCCTGGAATGTGACAGATTGAAAGGCAATAGCTTCTGATAGGGTCTAAAATGTGGGTTAGGACCAGATCAGAGTTCACCTGGAGGACTGTGAGTTTTGCAGAGGCAAGGGAAGCCATTGCAGATTTAGCAGGGAAATGGAAGAGTCTAAATTCATTTGAGAACGAGTCCCCTGGCAGCAGTAAATACAGCAAGTGGTTGGGAATGGGGAGAAGCTTGCTGACACCCACGGGAAGCATGGTGAAACATGGTGGCCTCGGCGTGCTGGCTGCAGGCAGGAAGGGTGGGTCCAGAGGTGGCTTCATAGAGGAGCTTAGCTGCGCTGTGCTGTGCAGGCCACTGGCTGCAGAGGGCTATGAGCACTCAAAATGTGGCTGGCTCAAATTCCAAAGCACCGTCAGGTAAAATACACAAGAGATTTCCAAGAAAGGAGAGTGTGAGGCCTCTCATTAGTAAAGTTTTATATTGTTACATGTTGAGATAAAATTTTAGATCTGTGGGGTTAAATAAATTTTGATCCTTTTCACTTTTTTTTTTCCCAAAGTCTTGCTCTGGTGCCCAGGCTGGAGTGTTCCTTTTACTTGTTAAATTGGCTCCTGGCACAGCTGTAATCCCAGCACTTTGGGAGGCCAAGGCATGATTTGAGCCCAGGAATTCGAGGCCAGCCGGGCCTCGAGTGTTATGTAGTGCAGGGAGACCCTGTCACTACTGAAAATTTAAAAATCAGCTGGGCGTGGTGGTGCCGCATCTGTGGTCCCAGCTACTTGGGAGGCTGAGGCAGCAGAATCCCTTGAGCCTGGCTGGTTGAAGCTGCAGCACTCCGGCCTGGGTGACAGAGCGGGACCCTGTCTCAGAAACTAAAGTGGCTCCTGGAAAGTTTAAAATTGTAGATACGTGGCTCTCAGCTATATTGCTGTTGGACAGCCCTGCTGTAGACAGCAGCAGCTGCCTATTCGAAGTTGTGGATAAAGGGAGGAGGTGGGTTCCTGAGGTGAGAGCAGTACCGGTTACCGGAGGAAGGGAAAAGGAGGAGTGCGAGGTGCTGGTCGGTGGGTCTAGGGGTGGGCCATGGTTTTGGTGGCAAGATAGACACTAGAAATGTACGTTTGTAGTTGTCCACTTAGAGTAGTTTTGGACGCTGAGGAAGAGGGTGAAGAGAGAGGAGGTCCCTGGACCTTGAATCGAGCCTGTGTTTGAGATGGAGGAAATCCAGAGAGGGGACTCAGATCTCAGTGGTATACAAGCCAGAAGAAAGTACATTTCAGGAAGGAAAAGCCTCAACATGCAAACAGAAAGACAGGGTTCTTTTTCAGCTGGGCTGTGCATGCTGCCTTCTTAAATGGAAGAGATTGGACTTCCCATGGGCTGCCTTGGAGACCTAGTGCCGCCATTGTGGAGACTGGCTGCATACCGCTGCCTGACCCTGGAAGGGTGGGCTGTTTCCCTCAGGGGTCCCGACTGCTGGGCTTTTATGAGCAGCACATCCTTCCTGCAATCAGCGTGTCAGCCTCCAGAGCTCTTCTGAGCCCAGTTAATGCGCTGCTTCTGACGTGCTGCCAACGGGAAGTCAGTATTTGGGAGAGAGTAAATAAATTACAAAAAGGTAGAGATTCTCTTGTGAACCCCCAGGGAACTGAGTGACATGTTGCTGCTACTCTGGACCTTTCTTGGTATCTCTGTACCAGGGAGGACTCCACATAGGTAATACATGCTCATGAAGAGGTCGCTCTGCTGGCCTCACATTGTTGGAAGGACTTGTGTGAAGTCAGCAAGGGAACTCAGGTAGGCGTGGAGAATGGCCTGCCTGCGGGAAGCTTGCAGGTCTTGTGGAGGAAGGTAGTATTTAATTTAACAGGATTCGTGCATAATGGTTTAGCTGAGAACCTTCTTCAAGTTAAAGCCTTGCTCATCTCTGTTCTTTTTCTCCCAAAGAAACCTCTGCCAGTACATTTTCTTTATGGCATGCTTAGTCATGTGAAGAGGTCCGAGCGGCTTTCCAATCTGCTTTTTTTTTTTTTTTTTTGTAGAACCACCACCACCTAAAATTCCCAAGATTGAGACCACTCACCCACCGTTGCCTCCAGCCCACCCACCTCCAGGTAAGCATCTGCTGAAGCAGCTTGGCCAGCTGTACACATTGCCGCTGAGTGATGGACACAGCAGGTCCTGGGAGCTTAGAAAAGGGGGACGGTGGGGCCCAGATTTACAGCATCAGCCACAGGCAGGAATCTTTGAAAAATTGTTCTCGGGCTGGGCACAACGGTTTATGTCTATGATCCCAGCACTTTGGGAGGCTGAGGCAGGAGGATCACCTGACCCTAGGAGTTCATGGTCAGCCTAAGCAACAAAGTGAGACCTATCCAAAAAATTAGCCAGGTATGGTAGCACACACCTATAGTCCCAACCACTCAGGAGGCTGAGATGGAAGATCGCTTGAGCCCTGGGCATGGAGGCTGCAGTGAGCTGTGATGGCACCACTGCACTCCAGCCTGGGTAAGGAGGAGACTGTCTCAAGAAAAAAAAATTCTCATTTTCACCAGATAGTTTGAGAATGTTGTAAATTGTTAAGTATATCTGACTATTCTCCGACCTCTCACATCCAGAAATGCTAAACTACACATTGTATTAGAATCAGTTTTAGGAAAGAAAGCCAAACCCTGCCAGCTGAGCGTTTATCCAGATGGAGGCAGGGTTACTGTGGGTGCTGGGCTCCGGCCTCCCACACCTGCTTCCTGTCGGCAGGGTGCCGTCCTAGTGCATTTGGACGAAGAAGCAGTTGTACAGAGTAAATGAAAGAGTGAGAAGTTCTCCACAGGTGTGTGGCACACCGCAAAGCCTCTCCGATCCCAGTGGAAATAGAGGAGAAAAGCTGGAAAGCAGATGGCATTCTTTGCCTGTGGCCATTCCATTGACCATTTCAGAAGGTGAAGTGCTAGAGAAGGCCGGAGTGACCTGTGCTTTCTTTCCGAAAGGTGGTTGATACTCCGGAGGCTTCCGAGCCTCTGTCGGCTTCTCCCACCCGCTGCAGTCACTGTTGGTCGGTGCACGTGGCTCACTCTGGGGCTCACAGCACCGTGTGTCCCTAACAGATGTGCCACAGATGACATTTCTGTTTCTACTCAATCATGATAGCGTTTGTGCTTTGGGAAAACAGAGGTGTCATTTTCCACTTTGGGCCAAATCCCAAAACCCCCAATTCAATATGAACCTTACTTTAAACAGCACCTGCTGTTGCTCATGGAGCATTTAGGGAGCACCTTGCCAGGTGCAGTTCCTCTGGTCCAAGTCAGGCTGCCCCTGCGCTGAGGAGACAGACAGGTGGCTCAGTTGGGGAGCCCGGGGCGGCCAGAGGGGTGCTGCTGCCTCCAGGGCCTGAGTAGCTGCTGTGGAGGCCTCAGAGCTCTGCCCCCTCCCCCATTACAGCCGGCCAGGAGTAGGCCTGGGACTCAAATGAGACCTGGGAGCCAGAACCACTGCCAGGAGGCCGTGGTGAAGAGAGCAGCGCCTGGGAGCCACGGCGCCTCCGAAGGTGGAGGCAGCAAAGCTGGGCAGTAACGAAGGGAAGGAAGCGTAGCTCCTGGGAGGCCTAGGCTGAGGGAAGAAACGTTCAGGTCAGCAGGGATGTTTAGGAGGCAGTTTGGTGGCCGTGTGTGGCACTTGGGTCAGGAGCAAGTGTGCAGAGAGGGAATGGGGTGCCGAGGGGAGATCCCCACTTGCTGTTCCAGCTCAGTGACAAAGGACAAGGGCAGGCGCACTGGTGACATGAAGATTTAGGCCTTGGGGTTGAGTGTTGGAAGAGTTGGCTTCTGCGAGGTGGAGGAGCAGGCCTGTGGGCAAGTGGCTATGGAGTGACACACCGGAAGCGTTAAAGGGTGTTGGCACTTTTCTGTACCTCTTTTTTAGTCAGCTTCCAAAACCCCAGAGCACCTGGCCCCAACCTGGAGCGGAAACCAGTTCTCTAAGGTCAGGCATGTCTGACCTTCGGCCTGGTGGACTGGGGGGCACTGGTCTGCACAGGCAGGCCCCAGTGGCACACCTGTTGCTGACCTGAAATCCTGCTCATGCTCACTTTGACGAGATCAGACGGGTTGTGCACCAGTGTCCATGTCTACACAACCAGGACGCCATGCTGTGCCTTGCCCAGCCCAAGTGCTTGGGGAACAGAAGCCTCTGATGGCCTTTGCCCTCTTTATGCCCTTTTCTGGAGCCATGTGTTCTTCTCATGTTGCTCCTATGGTTTGTCTCTTGGGCTGCCTTGGGAAAGGACACTCATTCTGTTTGGCTCTCTGTGGCGGGGTGTATCGACATCATTTTCCAGGGGTCTGATGGTGGCCAAGAGATCACAGGCCAAAACGTGTAGATAAGGCTTTGGTGGAAGTGGGCGTGAGGGCTTGTGGGCTGGGAGGGGCCTGTGGCTGGTTCTGAACACGGGTATCTCGGGAGTGCTCGATACCTGGTACCACCTGTCCCCGTTGCACACGCAGACACAGCACGCATGCACACACTTCTCTCAAGGAGACTGCTCTCTGAGAGCACGCAGTGGGGTGTATCTAGCCCATCTTGAGTGGAGTGGAACCTGAATTGCTTCGTTGATGGATACGTTGGGAGTGTCAGAGGCTTGTAAAGAGTTGTTTTAAGTGCCATCAATTCATTTGACTAACTCTGAGGCTCTCTGAAAAATGCCAGTGCTGCAGACAGGAGTTCATCGTGGTCCTGACTCCTGGGCTCAGATTCTGAAGACAGAAACGGGCAGAAAAGCAGAACTCCCACGCTTGTTGCACTAGGAAGGGGGGCCGGGGCTAGGGCACAGGGGGGCTTTGTGTGCTGCCAAGACTGCCTATGGGTGGTGTGGTTGGGGCTGAGGGAAGGAAACCCCAGGCCATGCCAGACAGAATGGAGGGCCCTTTCGACAGATGACGGGGAGACATCTGGTGGCATCAGGACATGGGGCACGGGCCCATGCACTGGGCCACAGAGGTGGCAGCTGCTCCCTGCTCCTCTGTAAAGGTGGCCCTGAAGGGCCGGGAGGCACTGAAAGAGCAGCCGTTGCTGGCGGAGGCCAGGCACTGACACATCTCTCTCCTGCAGACCGGAAGCCTCCCCACGCTGCTGCCTTAGGTGAGGCTGAGCCGCCAGGCCCTGTGGATGCCACTGACCTCCCCAAAGTCCAGATTCCTCCTCCGGCCCACCCGGCTCCTGTGCACCAGCCACCACCACTGCCACACCGGCCCCCGCCCCCACCCCCCTCCAGCTACATAACCGGGATGTCCACCACCAGCTCCTACATGTCTGGAGAGGGCTACCAGAGCCTGCAGTCCATGATGAAGGCCGAGGGGCCCTCCTACGGCGCCCTGCCCCCCGCCTACGGCCCACCTGCACACCTGCCCTACCACCCCCACGTCTACCCGCCCAACCCACCCCCACCGCCTGTGCCGCCTCCCCCGGCCTCCTTCCCCCCACCTGCCATCCCACCCCCTACTCCTGGCTACCCCCCACCTCCACCCACCTATAACCCCAACTTCCCACCCCCACCTCCACGCCTGCCCCCTACCCACGCAGTGCCCCCTCACCCTCCTCCAGGCTTGGGCCTGCCACCAGCCAGCTACCCACCTCCTGCTGTGCCCCCTGGAGGACAGCCCCCCGTGCCCCCGCCCATTCCCCCACCCGGCATGCCTCCAGTTGGGGGGCTGGGGCGGGCAGCCTGGATGAGATAACGGGAGCCTTTTTTCCCTTTTTTTTTTTTTTTTTTTAAACAAGTTTTTGTAATCAACTTGCAGAGTAGTTGAAGTGGGAAAGCAGCAGGGTACCTTGTATAATGCGTGACCATTGCAGTATGGGAGGAATGGACCAGGCCCCTGGGATAGAATCGGGGTGGTCCTCATCTGGAGGACGGGGACAGCCAGCTTTCAGAGTAGTCTCATCAGTGCCCTTGCAGTCTGACCGTGTACACTTGGTTCAGCTCACGTCTGAGTCCTGCACTGGGTTACTTTATACTAGTGAAGATGTTAACCAGCCATATTGGCTCAATAAATAGCTTCGGTAAGGAGTTAATTTCCTTCTAGAAATCAGTGCCTACTTTTCCTGGAAACTCCATTTTAAATAGTCCAATTCCATCTGAAGTCAAGCTGTTGTCATTTTCATTCAATGACGTTCTCTCCCATGACACCCAGAAGGGTCAGAAGAACCACACTTTTCATTTATAGATGTTTGCATCCTTTGTATTAAAATTGTTTTGAAGGGGTTGCCTGTTGGATGGCTTTTTTCTTTTTCCTCCAGGGAGAAGGGGAGAAATGTATTTGGAAAGTAATGTATGTTTACATCTATTTGCAAATTCCTGTACATAGAGATATATTTTTTAAGTGTGAATGTAACAACATACTGTGAATTCCATCTTGGTTACAAATGAGACTCCTTCAGTCAGTTATCCAAATAAAAGCAGTTCTGAAACTATCCCTTTCTTTGTTATGGGTGGAAGGTGGGGCTCCAGGCCTTTGCAGTCCCTGGGTTACAAAATCTGCTGAAGCTTGTTTCCTCCCTCCGGACCCTGGGGATCCAGGAGAGGCCTGGCCAGAGAGCCAACCCCAGCGTCTCCCAAGGCACTCTGGGTGAATCGGCAGAGCCGCGTGCCAAGCCAGCCTGCCTGTGTCCCGCGCCTGCCTTGGTGCATAGAATACAGTCAGACACGGGCTTGGGTTTGAAACCAACCCACCTGTGATGAGACGGAGGCAGTTGGAGGGGCAGCAGCCTCACCATCTACTCTAAGGGGCCCTGAATGAACCCCCATCTGAGGTGCTTGAGGGGCCATGGCCTGTCTCTGATCCTGCCCCCCATGACAGAAACACACCGAGCAGCCAGCCAGGAGGCGCACAAAGAGGCCTTTATTTATCTAGCTCAAAGTATACACTATCACAATATTGTTACTCCTTTTACTAAAATAGTTCAAATCAGTGTTTTTACCACACTATCAAAAAGTTCTATTTCTTTTTGTCTCCCCACATCAGAGTGGTTGGATAGAAGGTAGAAACAGGCCGGGAGTCACAGGCTCCCAGCTCTAAACCGTGCCAGGGCAGGAAAGGGTGGCTCCAGGTCTCACGGTGGCACCTTCTACAGAAAATAGACATAGCTGCCGGGCCCGGGACAGAAAGCAGACGTTCCAGTCCATCTCCAAAAAGCAGCACAAATACTCCCCCCGCAGTATGAAAAATAAACACCTCTGCCACTCTGCAGTCATGCATTTTGTTTTTAAGAAAAAAAAAAAAAAATCAGTAGTATGTATCTTTGTTTCCTCAAGTTTCAAGAAAAAAAAATGAAAGGTCACTTTTTTCTCTTTAAACAAAACACTGGTGTGTAGCTAGTAACTTGGATAAGAAGGTGCCCCCTACAAAATGTGCTCAGCATGTTCTGGGCCAGGATGGACCTGGCCGCCTGGCTGAGGCAAGAAAGGAGACAGACAGTCCGTCACAGTGGACACTGAAGCCGAGTGCCAGTGCTGCGGCCAGCTTCACCGTCAAGAATCTGAGCCTTTGAAATGGAAAGGGAGCATCTGAAAGGGCACCCCCACTGGAGGCTTTCAGAGCTAGAGGTCACCCTGGGCTGCAGCGTCCCAGGGTTCCCCCGTGGGAGGCCCCGTCTGACCCTCTACAGCCCACGGTGCTCTGCCACTGCCACCTGTACTCAGGCATATGGCGTCACTACTGCTGGCCTTTAAAATCAGCTATTAATTTGAGATGTGACTGTCACTGACAGAGTTCTGTCCTGGAAAGCCATGCCAGTGCCATGTTGGCTCAGGGGGCACCAGCTTTGTGCTGTCTCCGTAACAGGCAAGAGGGTTCTCAAAGCAATGTTCCACTGATCCCTGGATGCCACTGCAGCATTAAGGACAGGGTCCATCCCCTTGAGGGGAAAGGTGGCTTCAAGGCTGTTCTCTGGACCTGTTTGCAGGAGATCCACAGGTACCAGGAGCCCATACTTATTGCTTATTTCAGTGGTGGCCAAGCCAACCTGACCCAAACATGACGCACACGGGTTCCCAGACTTGGCTCCCACTCAAAATTGACCCACACTCCTTGGGCTGCTCTGGTCTTCATTAGACTCCAAGACCCAGAAGGGCCTCTGCCCAGCTGCCCACGTGGGCAAGAATCACTGGGTACCATGACCAGCAGGTGTTCACCCAACTTCACATGTACACCCCTAGTGACCAGGAGAGCACCACCTGACTGTGGGACCCTCCTTCCCAAAGACTATCCTGGTGACAGCCACAGGAGGAGCGCCACACCATCCCATCACCAGCACCACCCACTCCCCCCCGGGCTAAGATGGGGGGCGTGAGCTTTCCCCTGAGAGCAAATGGGCAGCGAGAACTGCTCAGAATGGAGCCGCCAGCTATGGAGAGGGACAGGGCAGCCACCTCCCTCCTGCCTGCGTCCCCAGCCTCAGGCCTGCGGGAGACCTGCTGGGTAGGAAGACAGCCTCTGGGCTCTTCAGCTGGGGCTCTGAGCACCCCTGAAGAGCAAGGGAGTCTGCCGAGGACCTGGTGAGGTCCTGGACTCGAGCCAGGGCTGCTCACAGCAGCATGCGGATGTGGGGAGTGGCCTGTCCCCGCTGCGGCTCTAGGATCTCACCTGTCACGTGCCACATATCACTTACCCCACGCAAAATTTTCTATTGCACTTTACAGTTTATACATGGTCATTTACACAAAGAGCTCACTTGATCCCCAGAATCCTGTGAGGAGGGCCTTATGCTGCCCATTTTACAGCTGGGGACATGCGCTCAGAGCGGGACGCAACTGTCCACCCGCAGCGAGGACGGCAAGGTTGCAGAACTTGGCTCCGCCCAGCCCGCGTTGGCCTCCCCAGCAGGTCAGCTGGCGGCTCACATGCCCCTAGTGAGGACCCCTGCCCTGTGGCACTGGATGGCCTGCAGCCATAAGCAAGGCTGAAAGGAACCTCAGAGACCTATCGGGGGCCCAGAGAGGCTTCGTGAACTGCTAAAGGTCACACCGCAAACTAAAGCCAGCACTAGGCCAGGCCTCCTCCTTCCCAAAAAGAGCAAAACTCTCATCTGCAACCCAGACAGCTCTGTCCACAGGGACCCAAGGTGCAGCCAGTCCCTGGGGGAGGCCACAGCCAACCAGAGCCCCAGCTGAGGCCTAGCGCTGCCCACCAGGAGAATCCCATGTGGCTCAGCCCAGAAGCTCTCCCCAGGTCCTTCGTCATGTAAACCACAGAAAGGGGCACACCTCAGGCATGGGGCAGGAGGAACCCAAAAGGGGCAGCCTGGACAGGGTGACGGGGACACTGCAGAGACTGTTAGGGGACAGGGTGGCGGGGCACACTGCAGAGACTGTGTTAGGGGACAGGATGGCGGGGGACACTGCAGAAACTTTGTGTGTTAGGGGACAGGGTGGCGGGGGACACTGCAGAGACTGTGTGTTGGGGGACAGGGTGGCATGGGGACATTGCAGAGACTGTTGGGGGACAGGGTGGTGGGGGGACACTGCAGAGACTGTGTTGGGGGACAGGGTGGCAGGGGACACTGCAGAGACTGTTGGGGGAGGGGGTGACCTCCAAAAGCAAGGAGCAGCTGGCACTGGGTGGCTGGGGATGGATCTCCAGGTGTGAGGGGACCCTGAGCTCCAGGGCTGAGTGTCACAGAAAGGGCCCAGGGCAGCCTCCAGCCAGCCACGGACACAGTAAGCAGCCTTGTCCACGGTGCCGGGGGCTCAGTGCTGGGTGGGCCTGGGACCAGGCCACGGCAGGTGGGTGAGAAGGGCTGCCACCTGCAGCAAGACCCAGGTAGCGGTGGTCTCCAGTGTGGGTGGCAGCCAGGAGAAGAGGGTTTGATGAGTGGCCCCTCCATCCCAGGCAGGACACAGGAGCCTGGACAGTCCCTGGGCTGGATCTCAGAAGCAGCTTGCGGCCTCTTGCTCATGAAACCCAGGGCCCGGGGCCCAGAGGGAGCGAGGCGTCCAGGCCGATCTGTAGCTCGGGTCGCAGTGTCTCCTCTTCCCAGGTTGCTGGTGTGTGAGGCGGGAGATGGCGGCCTGGGCCAGGGTGGGCAGCGTCCTATGTACAATTCACCACAGAGAAAGAAGACGGGCTCGGCCGGAGGTCCTGCGGTGGCTAGGGCCTGAAACTCCCCCTGGGAACCCCCAGTGGGGCCAGTCCACGTCCACGCAAGAGTGGCCCTACAAAGGCCCCTTGAACTGGTTCCCAGACAGGTGCTGCCGTATGGAGGGCTTGGAGCTGGCCGCGTCTCCCAGCTTTCTCCAGACGACCTGTGGAGGGGAGCAGGATGTGAGGGGGCTCGCCCACGTCCACGCGCCAGCTGTGCACACCTGCCGCCTCTTCACTGCAGAACTGCCCACGTCCTCAGAGCCATGGGGCCCCGAGGGACATGGAGGCCACTGCAGGCCCAGAGACACCCACGCCAGGTTTTTGCACGCCACCCTCACTATCAGACCTTGCAACTGTCCAGCGGCGTCCACGGGCCCCACCAGGTGATGCAGGGGAGGGGCTGCAGTTCAGAGCTCCCGTCCCACCCCCATAAGACCTGGGTTCAGACCCCACAAAACCCCTTCCCAGATGGCTCCTGCCAGCACCCAAGGAGACCACCGATGGTGCCCAGCTGGGTGGGGCACTGGGCTCTCCTGGGTGGCCCCAGCCTGGCATGCGGGAGGGTTCCACCTGGACCTCCTGCTCGGAGCACCACCTGCCCAGCCGGCAGCCACAGGCGGCACCAGCAAGCTGGGAGGCCCAGGGGCCAGACACCCAGGAACATCTGGGGCAAACAAAACCAGTCCCAGGGAGTGGGGGGCTCAGGCTCTATCCCAAACCCCTGGCACGGCGCTCCTGGGAAGGGCGGATCTGCAGACTAGGGGCCCTCTGGGAGGGGCGGGGGGCAGCGAGGTGACGACTGGCCAGGGCTCGCAGTGCCTCCAAAACCACCCCGCTGTGGCTGAGCATTCGAGAAATGGAGTCCCACTCAGGGAAGGGTGTGGCCATGCTGGGTGGCCCTGGGCACCCTCCCAGTGCCAGGCCTCGGCCCCCACCCCGGAAGCCTCACGTTGCACATCTCACGAACGATGGCCTTCTCTTTCTCACTCAGGTCCTCCTCGCAGCTGTCCTGGAGCTGCCGGTCCAGATTCTCATGCACCTCCAGGACCTGAAGGAAACAGGCCTCAGGGTCAGGGTCAGAGGCCACAGGCAGACCTTGGGCAAGCTGCCTGGTCCCTGAGCCTCAGCTTCCCTGCTGCAAACCAAAGCTAAGGACCCTGAGCTGCGGGGACCCTGGGGACAAGTGTGGAAAACACTGAGGGGCAGGTCCTCTCCTCAGCCTGCTGATGCGTGGATGCCCAAGGGAAGCAGCTCTTGGCTGGGCCACCTGCGGGGAGGGAGACAGGCAGGGCAGGGATGACCTCAGACAGGTGGACTCACTCCAACCCAGGGCCCGCTGGAGACAACGTGGAGGGGGTGGGAGTATGTGTGGGCATGCCTGTGCACACGTGTGAGATGTCATGGGGCGCGGGAGTGGGGACTGTGCTCAGGTGTACACAGCCTGGAGAAACCGGAACCCATCAGACCCGCTCACCTGCACCTGCAGAGGCTGGGCCTGGGGGACCTGAGCTTAGTTCCAGCCCCACTCCTGTCCCTAACTCTCTGGCTTAGTGGGGCACCTGCCCTCCCAACCCCAGGCCTCAGTCTTGCTAGCGCAGGGATGGCAGACAGGTGACACACTTACAACTGCCACCTCTGAGTTCTGCCCTCACAGTGCTCCAGGCAGCCATGGTCACCCAGCCACCCATACACAGATGAAACCCCCCACCCCTGCCACTTAGATGCCCCCAGGTACAAAGGCCCCACAGTCCCATGACACACCCAGCATCTGGGGCTCCTGAGGGAGCGGGTCGTGGCCCTCACCTTCATGGCGTGCACGACAGCCTCCGGCTTCTGTCCTGCAGGGCTGTAGCTGGCAGAGGAGGGTGAGGGCAGCTCAGGTACGGGGCAGGCTGGGCCCTGGGGGAGGGAATCACACATCTCAGCTCACCCTGGCTGGCTCCCACGTGGTGGCCACAGGCATGACCAGTGGCTCAAGAAGGCACTGATGCTCAGGGGCCAGGGCCCAGGTGGGAGGAAAAGGGGACAGGGGGTGAGGCAGAGGAAGCAGGTGTGAGCACGGAGCCCCAAGGAGCCCACAGCCCCACCTGCCAGTCCTGCCCACCAGGTCTTCCACAGATGAAATGGTCCCTGACAGCACAGAGGCAAAAGGGGTGGTCCAGGGTCCACCCACACCTCTTGGGCTCCCCTACAGCCTCCCACAGATAAGACCTAGCATCTGTTTTGCAGGGAAAGCAAGTTCAGCCCAGGGAGGGCAAGCGACCCTAATCACAGCAAGACCAGGAAGGTCTGGACTCAATTGTGGCACCTGAATCCAAAGTCCCTTCCCCTTCCCACCCTGGTGCCCCTGTGGGCAAGGCCAGCTCCACTCTGAGCACCCCGAGGCCCTGCCTCCCGGCTGCTACCTCCCAGCCCTGTCGGATGAATTGGCCGCCAGGTGCCCGGCTCCCACATCAGGCCTTGGGGAGGGGACCCAGCCTCTGTCAGACAATGCGTGTCTACCCAGGAGCAGGCGATCCCACCCCCAGCTTCCTGCCTGCAAGGGTCCATGTGGCTGGGAAGCCAAGCGCAGGGCTTCTGCTTCCAGCTGCAGTGGGGACCGCAGGGGGCCAACAGGAACTAGGAGGTCACCAGATGCTGGGACAGGCTTAGGGGGAACTCACAAGTGCCCAAAACCAGACAGAAAACCCCCAGCGGTGCCCTGTGGGCAGGGAGGGAACAGGAAGCGGGCTTTCCATTAGTCTTCAGGGCTCCCCACTCTGGCAATCCTTGGGCCGACCCTGGCAGCTGAGTCTGCTGCCCTCTCTGTAAATGGGGCCTGGATGACACCTCCCAACAGCCTCAAAGGCTCAGGGAGCTGGGCTGGAATCCCACCTGCCCAGGCCCGCATCAGGGGCCACCTAACACTGCAGGGCTGGGAAGCTCCTACAGGCTGGGCAGCTGACCCCTGGGGCCTTCCCCACCCACCCTGGCCTGGACCTGCTCCCAGGGCTCTGCAGGCTGACCTGCTCCTGCCTCCAGTCGGACACCAGGCCCCACCCCTGAGGCTAGGGGGCCTGGGAGCTGCCACCTCTGGAGGCCCCCCAGAGCACTGGAATCTAGGAAAGCATCACGGAGTTGGGCCCAACCCACGCTGAGCCTCAGTTTCCTTGTCTGGACAACAGAAAGTGTTCTCTGCCCCAGGTTCTCTGTGTAAACCCCTAACTCCAGCCCAGGCTGTCAGGTCTCTGTGGTGTGGGGACCCAACAGGGATGCCAGGGGTTCCCACTGGGGCAGTGCAAGGGGGTGGTGCCCCAACCTAACATAGAAGGTGGCATTCCCCATGCTGGCCAGCAGGGGGCGTCAGTCACACGCACATGGCCCCCAGAGACCCGGGCACCTGCACCTATCTGCACCTTCCCCTACAGAACACAGTCCATGTACCAGCCGGCCCGTGGCACCTCTGGCCTTATGTCCCCATCTGCATCAGGCCCCTGGGCTGCCTGTCCTGTTACAGCCCCCAGCTCCAAGAGGCTGGGATTCCTGCAGTACAGGCAGAAGGGAAGCCAGGAGTGTGGGGGTGGGGCAGTACAAGTTGCCCCTCTCCTGCCCGCCTCACTAGGCAGTGGTGGGTGCCAGCAAGGGCATGGCCTGGGATGGTGAAAGTGACACCCGAAGTAGACAAAGTCCCAGTGTTACCTCCAGGGCATTCCCAGGGTGCAGGGGCCCCTTCTGCACTGGAACTCAGCCCCCTTGGGCCACTCACACCTCCCACTGACTAGATGCCCACTTAGGGTGGCACTGCCCACCGAGTGCTTGCTACACTGCTCCAGGCAGGCGCTATCTTTCTACACATCCAAACATGCCCACTTTTTTTTTTTGAGATAGAATCTCACTCCGTCGCCCAGGCTGAAGTGCAGTGGCACAATCTCAGCTCACTGCAGCCTCGACCTCCCAGTCTCAGGCAATCTTCCCAGAGCAGCTGGGACCACAGGTGCACACCACCATGCCCAGCTAATTTTTGTATTTTTTGTAGAAACGGGGTTTCATCGGGCTGGCCTTGAACTCCTGGACTCAAGCAATCCTCCTACCTTGGTTTCCCAAAGTGATGGGATTAGAGGCGTGAGCAACCGTGCCTGGCCTACATGCCCACTTTACAGACGAAGAGAGTGAGGCTAAGAGAATGGCTTGCCCAAGACCAAACAGCTTATAAACAATGGGGCTGGGCCTTGAACTCTAAGTCTGTGGGACTCCCGAGCTGGTGACCAAAATGAGGATACCAGCGTTCACCAGAGAGAACTGAACATATACATCCACAAAATACCTGTCCCCAAATGCTAAAAATGCCATTCATACGAGCCCGACATGAAAACAATTCAAATGTGCAGCAAGGAATGAAGGAAGTGCTCTATCCGTACGATCGAACAGCGTTCAGCCGTGAAAAAGCAATGAGACCAATACAGGGTACCTGTGGATGGACCCTGAGAACAAGATCCAGAGTGAAAGAAGCCAGACACAGAAGGCCGCACGTCATGCGATTCCATTTATATGAAATATCAGGATAGGCAAATCCATGGAGACAGAAAGCACCAACCAACCGGTGGCTGGGAGGAAGGGGGATGGGTGTGACTGCCAATGGGTACAGGGTGCCTTTCTGGGGTGATGAAAATGTTCTCCTGTAAACTCCCACCTCCCTCCCCTGGGGTTCAGCCTGGGCACCTGCCCTGACAGCCAGCAGTAGGAGGGTAGGGGCAGCAGTGGGCAGGGAGGGGGTACCCACCCCACAGAGTCACTTGCTTTACCCAGGGACCCTCTCCGGCATGCCCTCGCGATGCCCGTGAGCCACAGGCAGACTTAAAGGAGAGCTGCCCGGGTCTGCAAGGGCCCAAGTCCCAGGCAGTGTCTGAACCCAGAGAGGCCTCCCCGGACAATCCCCTCACTCTCCCCGGGGGTCCGAGTGACGGATGTGGGCTCTCCAGGGCCCAGTAAGGGCCCAGTGCCCTGTGAGCACTCCACGAGGCCCGGCCCCTGGGCCGCTAGCCCTGGCCTCTCTGCGGCAGCTTCTTCTGCAGCTTTCATGGCAGCCCCTCCCACGAGACACCTTGACCCTTAATAATCACTCTTGGGGGCCTTCCCACCAACCACCCCCGGTCCTGCCCCCTGCACCTCAGTTTATAACCCTGCCTCCCAGCCTCATGGAGCAGAGCCCCTGCACGGCCCCACGCCGGCCCTAACGTCTAGGCACTCACAGGCACCAATACACACTCACCAGAGGGGCTGACCATCTACCCCACCCCATGGGCCTCACTTCCTCCTCTCCAAAGTGGGGGACAGCCCCTCATGCACAGGGCCATCTAGAGGAAAATAGGAGGTAAGGGGCACGAAGCCCCTCCCAAGGCTGCCTCCTCCCGGAAGCCACCCCGAATACTTCAGAACTCTCACAGCATATTATCAGCACTGTGAGGCCCTGAGGCTGGGTCCATACACGGGGTGTGCTCTCCGAGGCCTGCAGGGCGACAGTGTCTGGCAGACCCAGTGCACATGACAGCTGTGCTTGCACAGAACTTCCCAACCTGCAGGCCGCATGGAGGACTGCGGGTCACAGCACTGAGTCACTGTGAGCTGCTCTCCCTCCCTCCCACGAGCCCACGAGCTGAATGCATTCGAGGCCCGGGGCATGAGGGCTAAGAAGCCAGCCCCTTGGGGGCATCACTTGGCTTTCCAGAGCTCTTCATCCTGAAGCATTAGAGCCTCGTTCAGCCACAGGACTCCTGGATACATGCTTGGAATATGGGCCATCGGCAGGCTTTGCTGCCCGCACAGCCTCAATAGCTGCACTCCTGGAGAAAGTGGAAGAGCTGCAAGAGCGAGATCGCAGAGCCAGCAGCCAGCACTGAGGTCTAGCCGGCTCTGCGGGGGGGCCTGAGATCAGCCTTGTGGGCGAGGGGTGAAGGGGGAGAGGAGGAAGGGGCGCAGCTGCTGCGGGCGCACACACTGCCCAAAAGCACCTCCATACACGGCTCTGCAGGCACCACAAGGACAGCCAGCGCCTTCTGAGCATTAGCGACTCGCCCGCCAGGGCTCCCCCAGGCGGAAGCCCCATAAGGTGAGGCCCTCATGCGAGGAGGGCAAGTGGACCTGGACTCCCACTGCTTCCCACTGCCATCATATCCATCCACGGGGTGCAGCCCCAAGCTAGGGTCCACTTCGCGGGAGCTGGCTCCAGGCGGCCTGTCCCGTTCCCTCCAGGGCAGGTCAGCCAGGTTATTGGCTATTTCATGGCAGAATCCACAAACCTGAGCCCCAAGCTCCAGGGCCAGCTGGGCACCCTCTCCCCGCTGTAGCCAAGGAGTGGCACAGGCTAACGAGCTGCTCAGAGGGGCAGTGGGTGGGCACAGGCAGCCTTGCGCATGTGGCCTCTGGACACTGCCCTGAACCTCCTGCAGTGTCACCCTACTTGGGGCTCCACCTCTTAACTGCCACGCTGAGCAGGACACAGGGACACAGGGCCTCAGGCCGGGGCTGAAGTCAGGCATCCAGATCCTCATGCCCCCGGGCAGGTCACTGGCCCACCTGAGCCTCAGGCCCTCATCCGGAACACGTGGGCTTCTTTGGGGCACACACTCACATTCTGCAGGGCGTCCTGGTAGGAGGGCGGCAGGGACGCGAGCTGGGACTCCGAGTGGTAGGGTGAGAAGCCTTTCCGCAGCGTGCGGAACTCTCCGGAGCCTGCCTGCTGCAGGGAAGAGAGGAAAAGGGGTTAGATGGAGGGCCAGGCTGAGTTGGCCAAGGGCCTTGGGCATGGCTCCTCATGCCAGCAGGGTCTGCTCAAAGGCACAGCCTCAGAGGACCCCTCTACTCTCCCCTCCACACCCCTGATCCTTCCCCCCGGCCAGGATCAATATATCTTCGCTCTCCCCAGCTCAAATCTCAGCAATTCACTCTCCAATACGGACTTCATAAACATGTGTTGGACAGCTGAATAAACAGAATGAATGAATGAAGGAGAGCCAGTGACAGCAAGTGAGGAGAGCTCTCTCCCACCCCTAGGCCCACCCTGGCTCCTCCACTCTGACATCCTGCCCTTGGGTCCCCACACAGATGGCACCGTTCACAGGCCTGGGCCAGCCACCTGCAGCACCCAGGGCCACATCCACAGGCAAGGCCTCCCACCTCCCACGGCTCTGGACTCTCTAGGGAGGTTCTGCCCAGGCTGCCTCTGCCTTGGACAGGGAGCTCCTGAAGCAGGTCCTGGGTACGGCCTCTGAATCCCTAAAAACTCACGCAAGCTGGGGTCGTAAACTACTGCCCTGCACACAGGAGGGAGGGAGGGAGGGAGGGAAGCCTTAGCCCTTGGCTCAAGAGCAAAGCAAATGCCCCCAACCCCCAGGAGCTGGGGCTGGGAGCTGGGACCAGGAGCCAGAATGAACAGGTCCCATGAAACTTCTCAGTGTGTGAAGGTCAGTCCCGCAGTGACCCTCGCCTGGCCCAGCCCAGCAGAAGGCCTTTCTTTCTGTATCACAAAGCGGTTTTGGGTGTTTCTGGCCCAAACAGCCTTTGCTTTTTCAAAAGAGAGAAAAGGGCTGCGCAGATAAAACCAGCAGAATGTCCCGTAAATCAGCAGGCTGAAGAGTTACCCAAACAAACTTTGGGGGCAGAGGAGGCCCAGGCTGGGGCTGGGCTGGGGCGGGGGCAGGGAGGGTGGGACAGGCTGCAGCCATGTCTGGGTCCCAGTTCCACTCACCGACCCCTCGGCCTGGCCATGAAAGACCCCCCGACATACCCTGCTTGCCTCCCTCAAAAGCTGGACCTGGCCCTGCACTTCTCACAAGCCCCAGCCTCACTAAGGCCAGCCCTGTGCTCTCCCAGCCCCATCAGAGCCCTGGCCAGGCCCCCCACCCAGGCAGGGAGGTCTCAAGAGCTTGGCTCAAGGGCCAGCAAACAGCTGTGTCCTGCAGGGGGTGGGGCATTAGGAGGGGAGTAAATGCTCTATTACCAGCTCCCACGGAGGCCCGCAGAGCTAAGGCAGGAGAGCAGGGATCCGGGCAGTCTCTCTCTCATTAAATCGCCCTCACCCCCCAGACACCTGTCAGCCAGGGCAGGCGGGCACTGGAGGCTGGGGCTGCTTCCTGGGTCCCCGGGAGGACCTGGGTGTGGTCCTAGGTCAGAGAGGGCACAGCGGAGAGAGAAGCGGAAACCAACCTTCCTGCAGGCCCCCAAAGTGTGCTGGGTTTTAGATGCCCCTGGCGAGCATCGAAAAGGGGTCTCAGCGCAAAGGGGGCCTTGGGCACAACCCTGAACCATCAAATGGGACTCCCACACCCTTGACCTCCACATTAGCCCTGGCTGACCCTGCCTAGCTTAACCAGAGGCACTCACAGTCCCCAGCTGGGGGCCAGATCAAGGAAAGCCCCCCACCCACCCACCAGGTACCAAAAAGAAGAGGCCCAGCACTCACTCACCCTCCCCCAACATGAGTGACCCGTCCCCCTAGAGCCACCCATGCTTCCCTGGGTCACCTCTCCTGAGGGAGGTACCCTAGCTCCACTTAACGGCAAAAATTCCAAACCACCTGATTTTCTTACAAGAGAGTTACAAAATCCTCTCCAATGGAGAATCCATTCTAAGCAGGCACACACTCTAAATGTGTGCACACACACACACACAGTGACTCCTCTGGGCCACATAGCCAGGAAGGGAACACCTAGGATTGGAACCGCTGCCCTCCCCTCCAGCCGGCCCTGCCCTGCCCTGTCCTCCCCTCCCCTCCAGCTGGCCCTCCCCTGCCCTGCCCTGCCCTGCCCTCCCCTCCAGCTGGCCCTCCCCTGCCCTGCCCTGCCCTGCCCTGCTCTGCCCTGCCCTCCCCTCCAGCCGGCCCTGCCCTACCCTGCCCTCCCCTCCAGCCGGCCCTGCCCTACCCTGCCCTCCCCTCCAGCTGGCCCTGCCCTACTCTACCCTGCCCTCCCCTCCAGCCGGCCCTGCCCTACCCTGCCCTCCCCTCCAGCTGGCCCTGCCCTACCCTACCCTGCCCTCCCCTCCAGCCGGTCCTGCCCTACCCTGCCCTGCCCTGCCCTGCCCGGTGTCCTGATTCTGTTTGGACTTAGGCATCCCTTCCTCCACATCCTCTCTGGCCCTCAACCAATGGGCTCCCACATGCTGTTACTGAAAATGTGGGTTTGTGCTGCCATCCCCTCCCCTCTCCCAGATAATTTCCCTGGGAGGAGGCGTGTGTGTGGGCATGAGGGAGGGTTTTAATTAGCTGCACGCAATTCACAATTCCCACCCTTGCCTTCGGTGAGCCTCTATAAACATTTGCATGTCCATAGAACTTTATTAGCAAGCCACAAAGCCAGGCAGGAAAAATGCACAATCTCTCATTAAGGGGCAATGTGACCAATGACGCATCAAATGAGTAACCATTATTGCACTTAAATCCAAATTAAAAATCCTTCTATGAGCCACGTCGCTCCCTTTGCAGAAGGAGACTCCCTAGGATTTCACCAAGGAGCGGAAGCAGGAGCAGAAATCACCTGCAGGGCTCGGTCTGCACGCAGAGAAGAGCTCACAGCTAAGGAAGGCGCTGGCCCTTTTGGGCGGGTGGGAGCGGGGAGGGAAGGGTCCACTGCTGCTCCCCAGAAACACCTGCCTGCCCAGAGTCTCCCTTAGGTGGCTCCTTCAGGACCCAGGGAGAAGGGATCTTAACATACAGAGCTGCCCACTTGGAGCTGGGACAAGATTTCCTGGATCCTAACATGGCAGGGCCCAGCCCTGCAAACACTCAGCGTGGCCCCTTCCACCCCGGCCTGGACCAATCCCCGTCACCCACTTCTAGGGCTTCCAGAGGGCAGCACGAGTGTCCTGGACCAGGGAGGAAGAGACACAGGTCGCAGGGACCCCTTTTCCACTGGGGCCCGGAGTTCAGGCCACCCCCAGCCTGTATCCGGAGCCTTCACTACAACACTGCCAGACTCGGGGCCCGGTGGGGGCTCACTGGGGAAACTCCAGTTGTCCTGCCGCCCACTCCGGGCCTCTGCAATGCCCCCAGCCTCCTCCACAGCAGGCGCACCCAGTCCTTCACCTTCCCGACTCCCCAGGAATTCCTGCCTGCAACGCTGCAGGAGACCCATGTGGGGCCACCCCTAGGGTGCACTGTCAGAGGGGTGCTGAACAGAGGAGGGTGGGACATGGAGACAGAGCCCGCCACCCTGCCTGCCCACCTGAGGCTGCTTGTTTGGGAGGGAAGGGTGGGGGCGCTGCGGGCAGGAAGCCCTGTTCAGGGCTCTGCTCTCAGGAGCTGTTCTCACCCGGCTTCCTGCTCCCCAAGAGCCCTCAAATGTGCCTTCTGCTGCATCGGTTATATGTCCAAGAGGCACACACAGAGCAGCTCCTGTGTGCTAGGCGTAGTGCTGTGCCCCCTCAGGGAGGCAGCAGCAAAAGGGGAGTGAGGGCTGGAGGTTGGGGGGGTGGAGGCAGGCACCAAAGAGGGGGTGCCCTAATGTCCCCATGTGGGCAGTTTGCCTGCAAGTGACCGCTCGGACCACCAGGCTCAGAGCCCCAGGCTGACTAGCACAGAATGCCCAAGGAAGGAGTCTCCTTGGAGGGACCATCTGGCACGGTTCTGAACCAGTCTCTTAGCGCTCAGTACAGGATGGGTGGGCACCTAACAGGGCACTGGGCACCTGAGAGGTTCTCCCTTCCTCAGTGCCCTCCAGGATGCCTGACTGGTGAGCATGGGCCCTTGGCACCATGTGGCACAGCACAGCTTGGCTCAACTGGGCAGCCAGGTGCAGCCTGGGCCAGAACCACCACGAACAGCAATGCAATCAGATCCCTACCCCCATCCCAAATGTAGGTCACGCCAATGACTGTGTGTGACTTAGGAGACACTGCAGGGCTCAGGAAGAGGAGGCCAGCACAGGCCTCCCTCAGCCCCGACTCTCCTGGGTCAGGTGCCCTCCTGCTTCTGGCCGATGGGGGCTCCAGGAGGTCTGTCACAGAGGCCAGTTTTACCGCAGCTGAAGAGCTGGAAGGTGCCATCTGCAGGGAGGAGCCTAGGTCCACCCTCAGAGCGATGGGAACCTGGGCAGGAAAAAGCCACATGCACCCAGGCCCATGTGGCTCCTGCAGACACTAACAGCGCCTCTGCCCTGAATGTGTGTTGAGATGGTCTCCAGGACCCTGTGATCACCCTGCAGTCCCCAGGCTGGGACAGGGGCCAGGCTGGAGGACAGGGAGCTGGAGAGAGCACAGTTCGCATTTCCCGCCGATCCCACTCCCACAGATGAGCCATCATCCCAGGGGCTACAGATGCGAGAGGTAAGACCCAGGGGCAAGGCCAGGGCTCAGTGACCACCCCATCCCCAAGACCTGGCAACCTCCCTCCATGAAGAGGAAGCACTGTGGGAGCTCCCAAGGTCGGTCGGTGACATGTAATCCATGGTCCGGGTGCTGAATAATAAACCCAGGGCCTGAGCACCCTGTCAGGCTGCAATGCCAGCCAGGAAGTGCTGGAGGATGGCACACCCTGAGCTGGCTGGGCTGGGTGACCCACCTGGAAGCAGAGGCTCCCATGCGTGACTTGGAAAGACCATTCTCCCACCAGGGACCCCAGCAGTTCCAGGGGCAGCTGGGACCACAGCCTGGCCTGGGCTCCACTGTCCTGCTCCTGACTAAAGCCCATTGAGATCTCAGCTGTCATTCATCCTCGGAGGGAGAGCGCAGGGAAAGTGAAAGATGCTGTGGGGGCGGGCACAATAGGGCAAGGGACAGGGTGGGCACGAGGCCAGGGGACAGAACAGGCAGGATAGGGCAGGGGACAGGGCGGGCAGGATAGGGCAGGGGTCAGGACTGTGCAGCGCAGCGGCCTCTGCAGAAGACAGGCCTCAACCTGACCCCATGGGGAACTGCACCAGAGTTGTTCCTATGAGGGCAGGCAGGAGGTTCGTGTCCACATGCCAGTCAGTCACGCCTGCGGGCGGCTGCAGAAAGGGGTGGAACTTGGCGCTGTGGAATGCTGTCGGTTTACCATCTGTGTGGCTGGACAGGTGTAGTTCACCTCCCAGCCCAAGCCCAGGGCTGGCACACAGTTGGTCGCTGGTTCTCAAATGGAGGTGACTCTGCCCCCAGAGGACAGCTCACAGTGTCTACAGACACTTTTAGTGTCAGTTTGGGCATGGGGTGGAAGAGCCCCTAGGAGGGTCATGCAGCACAGGTATTCTGGGGCAGGCAGTCTCAGGACTGGGAGAAGGGGACAGAGATGAGACCACGTGGGTGGCCTGAGAGCTGGCAGAAGAGTGGCTGGTGCTTGAAGGACCTGGCTTCCCAGGGCTCGGAGCTGGGCACAGGTGGGGGCTAAGTTCACCCAGCAGCTCCCCTGCCCCAGGCCCTGTCCAGCAGGGATCTGGCTTAGCCCAGGGAGCCTGGCATGGTGACTCTTGCTGGCCCTTGGGAATGTGCAACCCATGCAGAACCCTCAGCCCAGCACCCACCCGGCTCAGCAGCCCCGGAGACCTTCTCAAGGACCTGGGCAGCTTCCCGCTGGAAGCCACAGTTGGGTGGGCATGTGGGCCCTGGCCTCATCTCCACCGCTAACTCACGTAGCCTTGGCAAGCCTCTCCGCCCTCCACGCACTGCAGGTGTCTCACTTCAAAGTGGGGATGAGCACCAGCTACCCTCCAGAGGTGGGAGGGCCCCTGGGCACCTGGCAAGGTGAGTGAGAGGGGCCTGCACGATGGGGAGCCCTGGGGAGGTGGTCGCTCATGACTCTCCTGCTATTATTTTGCAAAGCTGGAAGTTTTGCCAGTAATGCCAGCTCAGAGAGAGGGCAGATCCCAAGAAGACTCCAACGGTAGGGCCAGCGCAGCCTGGGAAGGAAGTGCTCCCAGGAAAGAACAGGGGTGCTGGGGAGTGGGGGACAGAGCACACAGCAGCACACAGCACTCAAAGCAGCCTCCAGGCCCCCACAAACACCACTGCAAACACCCCTCCCTCCAGGCAGCTCTACCTGAAGCCAGCTTCTCGGGCGGCCATAGGGGCGGGGCAGCTGGAAGGAAGGAGAACAGTGTCAGGCAGCAAATGCCAACCATGCCCATCACTCTGTCCAGTGCCCTCCCTGGACAGCTATCAGCCCAGAGCCAGCAGGACACCAGCAGAGCCAGAGTGGTTTCCCACATCAAAGGCCAGGGTTGAGACTCGCCGAGGCAACTCCCAGGAGCTCCGTGTCTTCAGAAACTCCAGATTCGCCAAGGACTCACTGGGCAGCAGCCGTGCACCTGGCACTGCATTCTTAGGAGCACCCCACCCCATAGCCCACCCCAATGCTCACACCAGGGTGGAGCCACCCCATGTACCCTGCTACCCTCCCAGGGAAAAGCAACCCTGCGAGAGGCCCTGGGATGGGATGCCCTGGCCTAGAAGCACCCCAAGATCCCCGCAGCTCAGAGAGGCCAGGTGGAGGATGCACGCCCTATCTGGCCCCTGCTGTGGCCTCTGCAAGGTTGCTCACAAGAGCTACATAGTCACACCAACTGGACTGACTTTCTTTTTTTCTTTAATTGTTGTTTTGTTTGTGTGGCTGGGTTTTTTTTTTTTTTTGGACATGGAGTATGGTTCTTGTCGCCCAGGCTGGAGTACAGTGGCAAGATCTGGCTCACCACAAGCTCCGCCTCCCAGGTTCAAGCAATTCTCGTGCCTCAGTCTCCCAAGTAGCTGGGATTACAGGCGCCTGCCACCACGCCTGGCTAATTTTGTATTTTTAGTAGAGATGAGGTTTCTCCATGAAGGTCAGGCTGGACTCAAACTCCCAACCTCAGGTGATCTGCTCAGCTTGGCCTCCCAAAGTGCTGGGATTACAGGAGTGAGCCATTGTGCCCGGCCTTTTTTTTCTTTTAATTTTGAGAGAATTAATTTGTGGGGGCGGGGGACAACACACGCTGGGGTGTGTTGGGGGTGAGGGGAGGGAGAGCATCAGGAAGAATAGCTCATGCATGCTGGGCTTAATACCTACGTGATAGGTTGATCGGGGCAGCAAAACCATGGCACGCGTGTACTTGCGGAACAAACCTGCATGTCGTGCACACGTACTACGGAACTTAAAATGAAAGTTGATGGGGGAAAAGAAAGAAAATAAAAAAGAACAAAGGGGCTACTGCTTCAGTTTGGGGTCCAGAGACGTCTTCCCAGTCTGTGCTCAGATCAGGCGGTGGAGATGAAAGCTGTGCCGTGTGTGGCCGATGTCACTTACCCACGGCTGGCACTGCTACTCCTAGTCCCATGTAACTTCACACCCTAAAGCCCATTTTTCAAACTTGGGTGTATACACCACTCAGGGCCATGTGGCCTGTGACTGACGAGGTAACACGCAGACCAGGGCCTGGCCGCCCTCCTGTCCAGGTCCCTCTGCAGGCCCATTACTTGTCCTAGTGAGGGACAGACCTGTGGGAGGCTTTGAGGCGTACAGTTTTGGTTTTTTGGTATTTTTTGAGACGGAGTCTCACTCTGTCTCCCAGGCTGGTGTGCAGTGGCGCAATCTCAGCTCACTGCAACCCCTGCCTCCTGGGTTAAAGCCATTCTCATGCCTCAGCCTCCCAAGTAGCTGGGATTACAGGTGCCAGCCACCACGCCCAGCTAATTTTTTTAAATTTTTTAATAGAGACAAGGTTTTACCATGTTGGCCAGGCTGGTCTGGAACTCCAGACCTCAGGTGATCCACCCACGAATACAAATTCAGCAGCCCTGCGGTCCTCCCAAAGTGCTAGGATTACAGGCGGGAGCCGCTGTGCCCGGCCGAGGGGTGAGGATTTGCAAACCCCAAATCCCACCTTGGCTGAGTAAGCCAGAGCAGCTCCTCAACTTTCCAGGCCTCTGTCTGTTTGCACATAAGCTGGCGTCAGGCGGAGGGGGCTGGAGGCTATGGCTGGCCCACAGGGGACAGGCAAGATCACAGTGGTTAACCCGCCACCCTTACCGCTGGCCACTCCGACTCCGGATACTTTCCACAGTTTGCCTTTTCATCCTCTAAACAATGTATGTGGCAGACACCATTAGTGTCCCCATTTTGCAGAGGGGGAAACTGAGGTGTAGAGAAGTTAAGTGACCTGTCCAGTGCCACTCAGCTGCCAAGTGGCACCAGTGAGACCTGAACCAGGCCCTCTGGCACTAGAGTCTTGCGCGTGGCCTGTCAGCCCTGGTGACTCTCCCCCAGTGTCTGGCTCACGGTAGACACTCCTTACACTGCTGGCGCTAGGCACAGAGGTGGAATTTCCCATCTCCATTCTGCCCATGTTGTGAGACTGACCATCTGTTCATCGGCTGGAAGGCTGGAAAGAGGGGGTTTCCTCCCTGGGTGAGGGAGAGGCTGGACTGACTCTGAGGTTCAACTAAGGAAGCACTTAAAATCCTCCAGAGACCCAGAGACTGCACTGCCCATGACAAAGGTGACAGGGGTAAGGCGGCCAACCCCAGATGCCAAACACGCAGAGCAGGGAAGTGCGTGGAGCATGCTACCAAGGCATGGAAACACTGACCGACAGAAATACCCACATGGGCCACCATGAGCAGCATCTCTGGAGGAACCCAGGCTCAGGACGGCCCGTCCTCCTCGGGACACAGGAAACAGAACTGAATTATTAGCCATGGGTTCAGACAGTGGCAGATCAATCCCCTTTCCCCCAGCCTCAGTGGGCTCAGAACTCAAAGAACAAAGAGCACTGGTTCCCTCGGGGATGGGCCAGGCCCAATCGGCAGCAGAGGGCACATGGTCAGCCAGACCTCAAAAGCTCCAAGGCCCTTAGGACCACCTGGGGTGCTTCCCAGGGGCCACATCGCACTGTGCTGGCATCACCATCACCCAGTCTCCCAGGTGAGGACACCGAGGCGTCGGGAGATAGAGGATTTCACCTGAAGCCACATAGCAGGTGAGTGCTGGGGCAGGGGTATTGGAGTTTACAGGAGAAGAGCCTGTCTACAAGCCGAGGAGAGAGGCCTCAGAAGGAGCCAGCCCTGCCTATGCCTTGATCTCAGACTTCCAGCCTCCAGGACTGTGAGGAAAGCAATTTCTGTGGTTTACGGCCCCCAGTCTGTGCAACTCTGTTATGGCAGCCCTAGCAGATGAATACAACATCCACATCAGGAAATCCACCTCCATCCAGATCTCAGTTTCCCCATCTGTGCCTGCTGTGAATTCTGGGTCACTTTCAGCAGCCCTGAGGTACATGGCAGACCAGGGGAGAGGTGGGCACAGGGGTGAAGAGAAGGAGGGTGGGCGGGGGCCTTTCATTCACCAGCCGAGACCCAGCGTTGCACCCCAGCCTTGTGCCCCAAGCCAGTCCTCTGGCCTAGGGAGAGAGAACATTAGGAGCGCGCCTTGCTCTTTTGTAAAGCTTGCTTTTTGGCACACAATGGAGGCTGCATTTATCAGCCCAGCAGGGGAGTTAACAAGAAGCCCCAGTGTCAATTACAGCCGCCCCCAGCCCAGCCTGGCTGGGCACAGAGAATCCACAGGAAAAATAATAACGCGCATGGAGTCTTGAGATGAATCATCACGGAGAAAGCAGCTGTGTTGATGAAATTTTAAAGCCAACATGAGAAAGAAAATATGAACAGCAATATAGTAATTGAGTCTGTGAACATGCTGGCACATTGTTAATTAAAGCTATTTTGGAGTTAAACAGAGGCCATGGGGGGAGAGGTGGGACCATGGGGAGTAGGAATCCGGAGAGGCTCCCTACCCTTCCACCCAAACCCCAAAGCCACGTCACCTTATGATATTCCAGAGAAGAGCATTCCTCTCTCCTGCTTTTCAGCGACAGGAAGAGTCCCTGCTTTGCGCAGAGGTGGGGGTTTCTGTACAACTTGATTTCCCTAACAAGATTTAAATGCCAGAATCACAGACTCTCACAAGCCAGAGTCCATGAGGCTGAGGACAGCATCTCATTCAAGGCTGCAATCTCTTTCTTCAAGATTCCCAAACATGGTCACCCAGCCATCTCTTGCTTCTCTCCAAAGATGACACCCTCCCTACCTGCTGAAGCCCTCCCTTGGTTAAGCGGGCCTTCCTCATTCTGAGTAAGAACAGCCTTCCCAAGGCACATCCACCCAGTTCCGCCATGCTGAGCACTGGAGACACGGATGTGACACTCAGATCCTGCAGCCCTGTCCTGGAGAAGGTGACAGTCCAACAGGGGTAGGGGCCACGGTCCACGAGGGTGGGTCTGGACACCCTATCAGCAAAGGTGCACAGCCCGGGGACCGAGAGATCAGAGCAAGCACCAGGCCACCTGTGGGTGGTCAGGGAGGGTGGCAGACAGGAGGCCAGGAGGAAGGAGACTAAGTCAACCCCATCGTCCTGGTGCCTCCCTGAGCATGGGGCCACCAGTCTCCTCATCAGCAGTGCCCTGCCACGAGCTCTTCTCACCTCCCCTATCCTCCAGGGGCCTCTCTGTGCATGTGGGTCCTGCGGGCTGGGCAAGGTGTTGGTCAGGCAGGAACAAGGATGAGACTGGCAGCTCCCTGACGGCAGGCCTCTCCCTGACCAGCCCTGCATCCCCAGAGCCACATACCTAGTAGGTTGTCAGTTACGCACTGAATGAATGAGTGCCCACTTCTCAGATGAGCAAACAGAGGCCTGGGAGAGAGAGTGGCTTAAGGATCCACATAAAGCTGGTGTCATTGAAGCTACCTCAGGAATCCCAATCCAAAGGTGGGCTTGGGACCCACTGCTGCCTAGAGCCGGGGCCCCGCCTTCACCCGGTCTTTCTGTCTCTCTCTCCTGCTTGGCTCAGAGCAGCACTGCCCTCCTCCACGGCCAGCAGGAGCCCTGCCCAAGATCCCGATTCCTCTGGTTCTTCTTCTTTTTCTTTTTTTTTTTTTGAGGTGGAGTCTTGCTGTCACCCAGGCTGGAATGCAGTGGCACAATCTCGGCTCGCTGTAACTCCGCCTCCTGGGTTCAAGCGATTCTCCTGCCTCAGCCTCCCAAGTAGCTGGGATTACAGGCACGTGCCACCATCCCAGGCTAATTTTTGTGTTTTAGTAGAGACAGGCTTCACTGTGCGGCCCAGGCTGGTCTCAAACTCCTGACCTCAAGTGATCCGCCCACCTCAGCCCCACAAAGTGCTGGGATTACAGATGTGAGCCACCGTGCCTGGCCATGGCTCCTCTGGTTCTGCTGATGCCACGGGCTCTGGGGATGCCACCAGCTCCTGGGGCTTTTGTTGTGAGGCTCAGGGCCCTCCACTGCAGCGTGGGAACAGGGGTAGGAGACCACGCAGCACCAGGGCCCGAGGCCCCCCGCAGCACACAGCTGCCCCTTTCAGGGTGCTGGGTGTGCCCTGACACCAACTGCTGGGAGCCCGGGGGCAAGACCTCTGCCTGCTGCAGAGGCCATGCTGAGGAAGAAGGTTGGGATGGGCCCTGAGTGCCCTCCCTCCACACCACACAGAGACACAGGCTCCTTCAGCCACCACTCCAGCAGCACGGCCGCGCTGGGTTTCATCTGGGGAGAAAGCAAATTTCTGCTAAAGAAATGAAACACCTGAACTCCTCTGCACTGGACGATCTCTGAGTTCCGCACCATGGTTTTATATAGCAACAAGCAGGCAAAAGCAGATTTCTGTCCTTAAAACCCTGTCCAACCGCCTGCAGCCAGCAAGCCTGTGTCCAGGCAAGGGCCAGCAGCTCCCCAGCCATCAGGGTCTCATGTCGGTACCCTGCAGGCCAGGCTCAGGGATGAGGATGTGAACAGAGCCCTGCTGCTACCCCGAGGGAGCAGGTCGGAGCAGGCCTGGGAGGGAGGGGGTCCTGGGCAGATCCAGCCCCTCAGTGCTGGGGCTCAAGGCTGAAGCTCTCCACCTGTGCACAGGTAGGCTCAGGGCAAGTAGACATAGCTATGGTGGAGGCCCGAGCTTCGGCCACCCGAGCATGGTCCTGGCCCTCGTTCTGCAGAGCAGAGGCCACCTGCCAGCACCGGGAGGCAGGACTCCCTCGCCTACACACTTCGTGGGATGCTCTCCAAAGCAAAGGTCCCTGAGCCACGACCTTCCCCTGCTGTCACTTCTGCCTGCCGCTCCTGCAGCCCACCCCACACACCCTCCTTAGTAACCGCCACGGCCCCACCAGGCCCACATGGAAGGTTCACGTCTAGGGAGCCCCGCTCCACACACAGGTGAGACCCCAGACCCTCCTGCCCCCACCAGTTCTGTGAAGCCAGCACAGCCTGTGGCCAAAGCCCTTCGCCTTAGAGCACCTGACAGCAAGGCATGAAATGACAAAAGCCAGCCTTGCAATTCAGAGCCTGGCTATGCGCCTGAGCATGTATGGTGGGGGTGGGGGTGGGGGTGGAGGAGAGTTGGGGAGAAGCCAGATGAGGACGTGTAGTCTCCTGAGTCCCACCAGGCCCTGGGAACCTACCCCACATGGCCCGCGCAGGGATGAGGTGTGGGGATGACCTCTGCGGGAGCCGTGCTCCCTGCTGGGGCCGTAAGCCTCCCAGCAGCTGCCCAGTGGGCAGAGAAGGTGCCGTGGAATTCCCGAGCTGGGCAGTCAGCACCAAGCCTGGCTTGGTCACCTAGCAACGGGACCAGGCAGCGGAGCCATCCCTGGGGTTGGTTCCCAGAGAAACACTTTGGGTATCCCAGCCCGGCCGCCCACAGCCCAGTGGGGAGAGCAGGGAGAGGGGGACTGGGATGAAGCCAGGGATGGGCCCGAGGGGTTGAAAGCTGAGCGGCTTGAGGGGTTGCCAAGCCAGCTAGACCCCAACACCCAAGCATGGCTGCCCACAGCCTCCTCTGAGCAGCCCCCATGCCTGCCCCACCTGCAGCAGGGCAAGCCCTTATCCCGGCAGTCACAGGTCCCCTCCACGCTCCAGCCACACTCAAGAGGCAGAGCCCCTCACCCAACACCACCTCCCCCTGCAGCCAACCCCTCCCTGCTGTGCCCCTGCTGCTAGACTCTGCTCAGGGGTAGCAGCCTCATCTGTCTATGGGCAGGGCCAGGCCCAGGAGGGAGCAGGGGACCCCAGCCCAGGGAGGAACAGCCAGTGAATCCAGCATGGCAAAGGCGGGGAGGCTTCTGTGTGAGCCTGCCTATCTCCTGCCTGGATCTGCCTGTCTGCCAGAGGAGTGAAGCAGCCCATTTCTTCACCAGCCAGGTGTTGTCCACCCTCTCAGGCCCCAGGCAGCCCCCGGGGAGTTCACATACTGGGTGGTCAGCCTGGAGGGCTGGAGGGAGGGCAGCCCAGAGGCATGGGAGCCAGGGATAGGTTCCTGACCCCACCTTCCAGGAGGTGACAGGGAGGGCATGGGTCCCAAGGGGAACGGTGCCCCGGGTGAGCTGGAGGGGTGGCCTGGGACACGGTCCTCAGGGCAGCGCCACCCACAGCTGGCCTACCTGTGCGAGGAGCTTGTCACCCTCCAGCAGCCTGACTTTGGTCTCCAGTTGCCTGATGTAGGTGGACGAGGGATCTGGAAAGACATGAGAGGAAGGGGAACATCAGCCTCCAGCAGACTCCACCCCAGTGCACCACCCTGACTGGCCCCACGGCTGGGCTGGAAGGTTTGGTCTGAGGAGTCCCACCCCTCAGCCAGGTGAGACCCCAGCCCTGACTGCCCTCGCCCGCCCTGGGGAAACAGCACAGCCTGCAGCCAAATCACCACCTCATACCCGGCCCTACCATGGAGCATCAGACACCAACACACAACACACACAGGCCAGCCTTGCAGGGTCCACCCGCCACCCTTGCCAGGGGCCTCTCAGCCATTGTCAGAACCTTCAGGACCCATAGAAAGGTGAGGGGGTGGCCTCGCCAGCCTGCCCTGGAGCAATTCCTTCAGCTTCCAAGAGGCTGCAGGCTCAAATGGAGCTCTCATAAGCAGAGCCAGGCCGCAGCCCACCCCAGGGTCAGGGTCGGGGAGCCCCCTCCCCTGCAGTGGGGAAACAGGCTCCTGAACTTGGGGGCTACAGTCAGCATCGGGATCCTTCAGTCCACCTGGCCTGATTGCCCAGGAGCTCCTCACAAGCAAAGTGTACCCGTAGCATGTGCCACAGGTGAGCGGCCACCTTCCCCACAGGACAGTCGGGTGCCCCAAAAAGACACCTCGTGGACCTCTCCTCCCCCGGTCACATGTCCCCAGGTTCTGAACTCAGGCCTATCGAGGCCCATCCGTGCAGACCACGGCTGCAGGGTGAAAATCACCACCCTCACCACACTGACCCTGCTTTCTATCACCCAGGAAAACTGGAAAAAATCCTGTGCCCACGCCCAGCCATCCCATACCCCTGGTCCTGCCTCCCCACCAGGCTGGGAGTCGGCTCAGCCACCAGGATGCCCAGGGCAAACCCTCAGGGAAGAGGGCTGGGGGAAGGGAGGGGAGGCAGGATCGGGACCCAGAACATGGGGGGCCGGGGGACCACCCAGCAATAGCAGGTTTGGGAGGCAGAGGCAAGTGGGCAGCAAGGCCTGTCCCAAGCACCCCTGTGAGTAATGAAGCCACCTGGTAAGGGATGGGCTATTAACACCTCTCACCAGAGAGCACCTGGCCCAGATGCAAGTCCAGACCCCATCTACCCCAACGGCTGTCCACCCACTGGCCCACCCCACAACAGAACACAGGCTCTTCCCAGGTTCATGCCGCTGACCCTCAATCGCAGAAGCAGAGACATCAGCCCCTTTGACCACACACAGCCAGCCCTCTCCCCCATGACCTCAGGGCCAGGGATGGACTCTGCAGGCTGTTAGCATGCCTGGGCGGGCAAGGGCTTGGGTGCTGCCGGGGACAAGCCAGGACCACTGTGCCAACCACAGGACCAACGAAACGTCTGTCTGCCCCAGCATGCCAATAACAGGATGCTCGGGAGCCCCCTACTCAGCCCTGGACCGGGCCCAGAGCCTAGCAGAGCCACTGGCCCAGCCACGGGCAGGAGCAGGTACTGGAGCCCTGGCCAGCCGCACTCACTGCTGGGGAACAGCGAGAACCAGCCTCCCCTCCTCCTCCAGCCCAGTCACCTCCCAGGAATGTGGGGCCTTCTAGGAGGCGAGAAGGGCAGGGCGGCTCCCCAGCCAGGCCCAGCCTCCCCACCCTGCCAGGCAGGCCACTCCCCCTCAGGTGACCTCAGGGCCTCACACCTCACCAGCCCTGGTCCTGCCCTCCCTGGCCTCAGTTTACTCATCATTCTATCAACCCTGACGAGCAGTTCCCATCCCCACCCCAAGCAAAGAGGTGTGATGGGAAGACGCCTCGTGTGCTGGTCCCTCTGAGCACGGGAGACGGGCTCCCCAAACCTTCATGTCCTGTCCCCCACTCACGGGAGGGCTCCCTGGAACAGCAGCTGAGAAGCAGTGACCAAGGAAATGGCAGCGACACCTCCAGCTCCCTCACCTGCCAGAGCTAGGAACAGAACGCTCAGTGACTGCAGACCCATGTGTGGTCTCCCCTGGGTGGAGTCGGGGGGGGGTACCCACGTGCCATGTGGGACACATGGTACCCGCTGCATCTGGTGCCTTGCAAAGGACAAGAGGCCTCCGTTCTCATTTTCAGATGCAGAGGCCACAGGGAACAAAGTGTCCCCACCACCAGCAGTGAGCCTTCCAGCCCCTCCCCACCACCCACGCCTACCCCACGGGTCAGGCTCTAGCCCCTTTGACCACACACAGCGTGTTTCTGGCTGCCCCGGGCAGAGCTGACAGCCCCAGCCTTGGAGAGAAGCTGGCAGAGACTCAGAAAGAAGACGCTGTTCCAGTCACGCCGCTGTCCTCAAGGCTCTCTGCAGCCAGTCCTCAGGCACGGGCACAGACGCAGGGCCGCTGCCCGCCACAGCACCCCATGGGAGGAGGAGGACCCAGCCACTGTGTGTGACCAACAGCCCAAGATGGGCACTAACGTGTTCTCTGAGCTTCACTGCCCCAGACCCATACAGGAGGTGGGTACACTTTCAGCCCACCTGCCCCGCTCTTCCGGTTCCCACAGGGTGAGCAAGGGCTCCCAGCGCTTGCCTCTCGGTTCACCCACAATCAGAGGAGGAGGCTGAAACCCGGGTCCACAGCTGTCCCATCAGACTGCGCACCCTCGCTGGGTGCCCCTGCTCCTGTCTGAGCAGTCCGCCCCCTCAGACACAACCGGGGTACCTCCCAGGAAGGGTTAAAGACACTGATCAGGCTAGCACGTGGCATCAGGAGAAGGGACGCTGACAGGCCATCCCACAGTCACAGCAATGCCCCACAGGCCTATAGCCAGCACCTCACCTCAGGGCCCACAGGCCACCATCCTCCCCATTAGGGCCACCTGTAGGCACAGACAGGAGGCCACACCCATAGCCCCAGACCAAGGAGCTGCCCCTGACAAACCCATCTGTTCAGGTTCACCCCAAACCCCAAGCAGCTACGCAGAACAAAACACACTGCAGACTATCAGCATTTGTTGGGTTTTTCTTTAAATTTCAAAATAACAATCTAACAGCCTTAAAAATATTTTAGACCATCAAGTAATTCCAACGGAATCTATTCTAAAGAATTAATTCTAGGCTGGGCATGGTGGCTCACACCTGTAATCCCAGCACCTTGGCAGGCTCAGGTGCGCAGATCACCTAAGGTCAGGAGTTCGAGACCAGCCTGGCCAACATGGTGAAACCCCATCTCTACTAAAAATGTAAAATTAGCTGAGCATGGTGGCAGGCACCTGTAAGCCCATCTATTTAGGAGGCTGAAGCAGGAGAATTGTTTGAACCTGGGAGGCGGAGTTTGCAGTGAGCCAAGACCCCGCCATTGCACCCCAGCTTGGGCGACAGATCGAGACTCCATCTCAAAAAAAAAAAAAAAAAAAGAATTAATTCTAATGATGAAGAAAGCAGACTGTTAGCATGGCCAAAACTGGAAATAACTATTTGTCCAACTACAGCTGAGGGCTCCGCCCTATCATCATTAAAATGTTTAGAAAGAGTCTCTCTCCTAAACAATATGGAGAACACTTAAAATGCCAGCAGAAAGAACTGGACACAGAATGACACGTGCAACGTCTGGGACGATTAAAAATACCGACGCACTGACACGAATTCAGGAAGAAAGTCCACAGGAATGCTGACTGTGGGTGGCCCAGATGAGGGAACCAGTGGGTTTTTATTTGTTCACATCATTTCTCATTAATTTTCAAATAACGTACTTCTAATCTAGTTCTGAAATCCACCTTTCAGAAAAAAAGGATGCGGGGGGCGCAGTGGCTCACGCCTGTAATCTCAGCACTTTGGGAGGCCAAGGCGGGCAGATCACCTAAGGTCAGGCGTTCAAACCAGCCTGGCCAACATGGTGAAACCCTGTCTCTACTAAAAATATAAAAATCATCCAGGTGTGGTAATGGGCACCTGTGATCCCAGCTACTCGGGAGGCTGAGGCAGGAGAATTGCTTGAACCCAGGAGGTGGAGGTTGCAGTGAGCTGAGATCGCACCACTGTACTCTAGCCTGCGAAACAGAGCAAGACTCTGTCCAAAAAAAAAAAGGACAACGGATTAAACTCTTGCACCTTCACATTACATGCATGGCCACCCACTGAAGCAACTGACGCTTTAAACCCACCACCCCGACCCTCTCCCCGCACTCAGCTCCCTAGGCTGGCTCTCCAGGCTGCCAGGAGCCAGCAAACCAGCATCAGTCACCCCTGGGTCAGGAGTAGGCACCCTACAGACAGGAAGAACAAGAGTGATCAGGACCCTCCCAGGCGAGGGCTGGAGGGCAGGAGACCCCCGGAAGGGCCAGCTCCCGGGAGGACCATCCTTCCCAGCAGCCTCAAAATTCTTGATCCCGCTGGGCGCCTGCAAGCCCCAACCTCTAGGAGATGAGCGTGTAATTAAATTAATCCCAGGGTTTACAGTAATGAGTGCTGGAGCCACAGGGGAGGGGACTTCATTTCCCAGCTTGGCTGCCTGCAGGCAAAATGAGGGAGGTGACCCTGGGCTGTCCTGGCCAAGGGGTCCCCTAACCCATCTGGGGGCTATTGAACCAATTCTGGGGGATTCCTGATCCAACTGCCAACCAGGAAGGAGGGTGTCTCCCTACAATGTTGTTGTGTCCAGGAGCCAGACCTGAGCCCTCACCCCGCCCTCTCCATGGATCCCTTGCTCCCATGAGGAGGGGGAGGGGGAAGCCGTGCAGCACAGAGGTGGGAGTCATAGCCTGCAGGTCGGCCAAGCCCTCCCCACCCTGCGCTGGGTCCTGCCACTGGGTCCAAGGCTAACTGGCCTTCTGGGAAGCTGTGAGGCAGGGGGTAGGTAGTATTGCCCCTCCTGGCCTGGTTTTCACCCTAGCAAGATGATGTCACTTCACCTTCCCTCCAGACTTTGCTGCGTCCAGACAGTAAGAACTAGGAGTCAGGAGCCACATCCCATCACCTCCGCAACCTTCCTTTCCTCGCTCAGCACTTGGCACACAGTCAGCCCCCAGAAAAAATCTGCAGCCCTAACAGGAACTCACCCTGC